TAGTCAATTTATAAATTGACATCATAATATTTGAATTCAGTAAATCAAATCCAAGGCAATCGAGCGAATACAAAAGTCATATTTAAAAAGAAAATAACGTCTACGAACCTCATGAATAATTAACGACATTAAAAAATATAATATAAAGTAAGTGCATACAGGATGAGGTCTATCAAATGACTGTTACCGAATGTACTAGATTTGTTATATGCAACATATAATAATAGAGAATTTACCTTTTGGGCATGCTCCATTTTCTTTAATGAACCCGGTTTTGCAAACACACGTGTCAGTTTTACATTCCGAATTGGCTACCGTACATTCATCTGCCACTTGGCCAACTGGGGGTGTACAACTTGCGTCCAAGTCTAAAACATTGGTCTATATTTTTATTAGGTATATTCACGGTAATTTTGATACTATGATTAAGTATTGATAAATGAAATGAATAAAACTTTAATAAGAATAACCATTAGCGTATACACTATCTTGCATAAATTTACAGAAGGTTTTATAGAATTTGATTTCACAACTTTATATTTATTTTTACTTTATTTATATTACCTGTTGTCTCGCCATATAAAATAGAAATTCCCAGTAGCAGAAAGCTGATCAACAATGCAGGTCCTAGCGACTAAAAATTGAAAATTAAATACAAATGATAAAAAAATTCGTTCAGTTTTAATGTATTCTTATTTATCCAAAATAATCTTACATAAAAACATAAAAACACACACATGTTTTAACCTGAATTGCATAATTAATATTCCGGGATAATCACTTTACAAAATACTAAGATCGTTCGTACTCTAACATCATGCAACAACATTCGTTATTAAGCTATAATGATTATATTAATCAGCTTGTTAGCATGGAAATATATTAAAAATGATAAATGATAATTATTTTGTATTTTTTTTTGTTTTATTTCACATAATATACTAAAAAAATGTTATAAAAACAAGCAGTTAACATCTCCTGAGTTCATCTTAACAAAATATCTTAAAACTCTTCTAATTTTATACAACCAGATGTTATGACTTTTTTCTGAGGTCACACATTCATGAATAATTACAATGTTTCTTGGTTAATATAAACTGATGATATAACATTTTAGGGGGGTTTATGTATGACGACTATATCATGTCTTACATAATTACATTGAGAGCATTATCTAATATCTCACAAATAGTATTACCATTTACTTTTAATTTGTATTTTGAATAAAAAGGCATAAAAAGCAGTTTGTTCTATTTTTAATGAGAAGACATACAAAAACGTTATAACCATCTCTGAGTCAACATATAAACATATATTATTTCTAATTTTGAGTCCATATAAACATTAATAACTATTTTTAGTTGACATAAACAAATGTAATATCCATTTTATTGGAAAAATGAACAAGCATTTTAACCAAAATATCATAAAAATTTGATATTCAAATATCTCAGTATATAGTTTGTTAAAACGGAAAATACTGTACACATCTACTAACGAAAAACAACAACAACAGCATAATACAACGTTGTACAAATATCATACATAAACCTTTTGTATTTTTTTACATTCAAATCCAGTTCAGTGCTTCTTAATAATCACACACAGTGTGATGTTTTTGCAAAAACAAAATTTGATGAAGTTACGTTGTACGTTACCTTTTAACAATGTTTCGTTTTTTTTACTAAATCATATACTCGTTCATCATTAAAGGACTATTATAATCTTGAAATTACAATTATGATGAAATTAAGCAGACCAAATCAACTGTGCGAGTTCTATTTGAAAGTAGTAAAACAAAAGCACAGATTGAAGGATAGCCATTTTAGAATCAACAATTTAAAAAGTACAATATTGTAATTAGTGTTTATAAATTTGTACAATTATTATAATATTGATATATCATAACTTCTTAAATATTTTTCAAAGCGATGATATGAAGGAACTTTACCATTTGCTCAATAAATTGTCCTGTCAACGTTTTGTAACATTTAATATAAATAATACTTGCCACCAGGTTTGATTATAAATACAATGAAATACCGAAGAGGGAAAATTATTTCAATTTAAAAAGATTTGCATAAGAATTTATCTGATGGACAAATAAAATGTGTGCCGTAACATGTCATCAAAATTGAATGACAATATACGTTAATTATTTGAGAAAGTAATTCTATTTAAATGCATGCAACAGATGAATTATAATTTATCTCATGCAGATAACCTTCAACATATTTATTACAATTTATTCCATATATCTAACTGTTAACAGATAAATTACGATTTATTTCAAAACGTTAACTTTCAACATATGTATCACAATTTATTTCAAAAATGTGTACTATCATTTATTTCATACTATTAACTTTCAACAGATGTATTACAATCTATTTCATAAATTTAAAGTTCGAAATATGTACTATGATCTTTTTTTGCATACAGTTAAATTTCAAAATATGTATTAAATTAATTTTATTTCATAAAGTTAACTTTCAACAGATGTACATTACCATTTATTTCATAACTTTTAATATATGTTCTACAATTTATTTCATAAATTTAACTTTCGAAATATGTACTAACTTTATAAAGTTAACATTCAACAGATGTTGTACAATTTATTTTATAGATTTAATTCTAAACAGACGTATTACAATTTATTTCTAAAGGTTAACTTTAGGCAAATTTCTATTTTAAAGTTAGATGAACAGATATTTTTTTAAAGAAAAAGATATTTGGCAAATAGTTTTTCTTACTGTAATTTTCAAATGCCTATTTATTTACAATTAAGTAATCAAGTAAATATTATACTTATACAAAATGTTATAACTAAAATGAAACAAAAAAAATGAGAATAAAAAAAATAAATGTAATAAAACAATCTTACCATGTTTGATTGTCTAAACCTAAACTTAAACTTGATATTAGATAACAAAGATAGCAACCCTTACTTATGAGTTTTACGAGTAGAAGACTCGGTCACATGATAAGTGTAGCGTCACATGACTACTACAAAGTGACATGATAAACTTATCAAAAACGTTTGCTTACATGCTCCTTGATATCCGAACAGTTTATCATTTTCTTTCTACATTAAAGGACTCCACTGGGGGGGGGGGTGTATTTAAATGACGGAATTGAAATTATTTTTCGAGATTAATATTTCATTTGCTGTAGATCTTAACTAATTAAATGTGTGTAAAATCTCAGATCATTCGCTGACTCCGGTTTTCAAGACATAATACTCTTATTGTGAAAATTGAGTCAAAATTGAAAAGCGTTGCAACACTTTTCACACAGATCTATTTATACGATTTATTTCTGAGACTATTTCTAACTTATCTTTTCCACATCTTTCTGTTTTAACTGTCCCTGTTGATGTATATAAGAAATTAGAATTTCGTGTTTTGGGGCGTTAAGACTTCAGTGGAGTTCCTTTAAGTTATTTAGAATATACACACAAACAATCGGTGCAAACATCATAAATACACCAATTATTATGTCAGTAAAACGTATCAACGTCAAAGTTTTAAGGAAGAGAAATATTTATTTACATCAACATACAGGTTGTTTTGTTTTTGGTCATGCATCGTGTAGCAATCTTTACTACATTTAAATTGATACAAGTATTATTCCTATCTAAACTTTTATTTTATTTAGGCAATATACATCAATTTTGATTGCATTGTTGCAGAATAATACAGGGTTCGAGTTCAAAATCTTGGGTATATGTAATCAACTCCAGAAATGACTTTAATTACTTCAAAATTCAAATTTAAACACAGATAACCAAAACTTTTGATAATATTTATACAAATTATTTTACTTTACAAGAATTATGATTTTGTACAGGCGAAGCTATTGATATACAATTTACGTACACGTTCATTCTTGCACTGATATAGCCAAAACGAATTAATTACAAATTCAGGTTTATTTCTGGATTACCAAAAAAAAAAAAAAAAAGTCGCAAGGCAAGCCATTACAAGTGGAAATTTTATAAACTTTAAATTTACTATTTCTGTTTGAGATGACAATCAGTTTTAATTGTGAAGAAAAGGGTGGGTTTGATAAAATAAATTTCTGAACAATAAAGAAGAGACGCATATCTGATTCAAATATAATTGAGCCGCGTCATGACAAAACCAATATAGTGCGTTTGCGACCAGCATGGATCCAGAACAGCCTGCGCATCCGCGCAGTCTGATCAGGATCCATGCTGTTCGATATCAGTTTCTCTACTTGTTATAAATTTTGGTAAGCGAACAGCATGTATTCTGATCAGACTGCGCGGATGCGCAGGCTGGTCTGGACTCATGCTGGTCGCAAACGCACTTTGTTGGTTTTGTCGTGACGCGGCTCAAATTACTATTGACAATTAAAATGTCGTTACTTTAGAAATTTACTGGTTTTCCATGTAGTGGGTTTTCTTTGCAGACATGTTTTAGGCACCTTTCGATGATAACCTCTGTCGCAGTTGAATTTATTATCTGTTTGATTACACGTGACATGCTCAACTTCTTAACGCTTCTTACCACCTGCAATGCATGCCCTATCAGTGACATGTGAAAAATTAATATAAGATTAAATTCTTTAACCTATAGTAAAAACTGCTTTGGAATGCACTTACAATGATATGCACATTGAATAATATGTTTAGTCCTTGTATGTTTGCTCTTTGTTTGGCTATCACTCCGGTTATAAAATCTTATTTCAGTTTTGAACCTTTACTCATTGAGTACCCCTCATATAGCACACTGGGGACGAATAGATGTAAGTGATTTATAAAAACATATGGAAATTTATAAGATGGTTTAAAAATATAATATTTGAATTTATTTCCTACATACATTACATGTATCTGTGGAACTAAAAGACACGAATGATATTCAAAAGAGAATTAGAAAATATAAAAGTATAATCTGAAATGAATTTAAAAAAACGTAGTTTTGTATTATTCTTAACCTGATTAGAGTAAAATGCGTTGCAATGCTTTTCAAATTTGAATCAATTTTCACGATCAGAATAATTATTCTAGACAAACGGATCGTGTTAACTAACATGAATGTTGCACAAAATTATTGGTCTCGACGGACAGCAACTAGAACATTAATCGTAAAAACATATTCCCGGTACCGTCGAATAAAACTGAATAAATGTCACATTCCCACAGCATTCAGCAATCACTAAGTTTAATCTAATTAACAAGACAATGTTGTACCTTGTATCGTTCGTAGGAGGCCTAAAGAAAGATTTATCGACAGAATTAAACAAAACTAATGATAAATACTCGTATTTAAAGACACTTTTATCGTCCCTTAATGTGCATGATTTAGATTCAAAGCTTTGAGTAAATTAATGTTTTTCAAAAATGCTCACTAGAGTTTACCTCAATGTTGTTTTACTTAAGTGTCGGAAAAGGGTTCATGTTCTCATTCCTAATTTAATATCTCGTTTTTCAAATTATTTATTTCAGCGATGGTACAAGATTAATTAGTGCACCTAACGTATATATAAGTGTACATCATTTTTCCTCTGTTCAAAATCTTTGCTACAACACTGTCTGTTATATCTGTGGTATTTCCGTACATAATGTGTTTATGGATTTATTTCCCACTAATAACAATAAAACAAATTTAATTCAGGACTAGGTAAACTTCATATCAAGAGAAGCTTTTAAAAACATATAAGCTAAATGGTTTTAATTTTGTGTGATTGCTTTTTGGAAAAAAATGCACGGGTCGAGTTCAAATGGGTAGAAATATAACAATCGCTAGAAACATCGCCCATGATACAGCTATTGCTATATAGTAGATTGCTTGCTAACCTGGCAATTAGAATGACCATACATAATATCATGGCATTTAGCTGATTGTAAAGATCATACTACATTTAAAAAGATGCTTATAATGTTTATAACAAGTTCATGCATATTGTGCTTGTTTCTAACACGTTTAAGCAATTGTTTGTTCTTTTTTATTTAAGTAATGACATTATCTGGTGTAAATCAACTAAATATTTGTTTGACATTTTTTTTTTAAAGTTTCAAGCACTTAAATTGGAACTAGCCATTAAAGAGAATACCATATGTATCTAGCGTATATAAATTTTCTCAAGTACCAGGGCAAATATAGCGCGTGTTTTGAATTCGGTATTGATATTTTATGGTGTGGAATCTTCAAACAGTTTCAACTTTGATTTACTATTATTACATAGCCCCACTTAGTATAAGTTTAAAAATTGCATACGCGTAGGTCTTAATCAGAACCATAAATCTGATTCAACGTTAGATTGTGTACACCCTAAAAATAGACATAATCATTTTCAAGTATAATGAGCTCTTAATATGGAGTAAAAATAAACTTTTGCTAACGAAGTACTATCATTCAAATACGATGATAAGTGGTACTTCTGTTGGCCATATATTTATCATACTTATTTTGAACATGTGTATGATGTATACTCTATGACACAATAAAATACTATCAAACAAATGTGTATGTTTGTAATCTTCGAGTTTTATTGAAAATATTTTATAACAAGCACAATGGCATATGCATCTTTATTGCTCTCAGCAGAAATAACAAGGTAACGCGTACTGACTCCATCTTTCTGTAAGAATAAGAAATAAAGACTGTAGTTATGTAGAATAGAAAAATAACGAGTCATTAAGGAACGCTCAAAACTGCACAATTAAAAATGTTGAGGTCAGTTTGATTGGGCCTGTTCAAGTTCCCGTCCATGCCTCTAGCACCGGCTTACGTAAAATTCAATATTTAACATGAAATGGTACAAGAGTCACTGTATTTGTTTATACAGGGATTATCTTGTAACCTTCAATATAACCTCTCATGACAATCCATGAAAAGGGGCATATTAGCCCTACGTAAACAAATGCGTTGGATCTCACTTAACTAAATAAATCGGGATTTTGAAAGGGGGCCAGAGGTCAGGGAGGCCTGCATATAACGGACAATCTGTATAAGATATTTGAATGGTAATTATACAGTATCAAGACGAAATACCAACCACTAAACTAGAAGAAAAACTAAAAAAGAAGTAACTGAAGAACAACAGAATATAAATCTCTTTGTTTATTGTACTTATACATCGAAAATATCAACAAACATATCTCAAATATTTGATAAAAATTCAAACTTGTTTCCATAACTTTAAATAAAGAAAAAAAATGGAATCCCTAAAGAACGCCGAAAACGACAAAATTGAAAATGACGAAGGCTGGTTTCTTTGGGCCTGTTCATGGCTGAAGGTAATCGAAAATATAACCTGAGGAAAGCCTGCATATCACATATCCGTTTATATTACCTTCAGCTGGTGCAAGGGGTCGTAGACGGTTACCGTCCTTGAAAAGCGTGCATACCAATGAATACAAGCACGTACATATTACATTATGCATTTTGATAATCAGTGTACGTAAGACATTTTTCATAAATCGTGACTGAGACCATATTTACGAGGTAACACCGAATTCGTGAATGATGCACCAGAACAATCATTATGTTGATTACCCCTGAAATAGTAGCTGAATCCTTTTTTAATGTTTAAGGAATACTGAATATGAAGATTTGTTTTAAAAAAACTATGTTCATGTACATTTAGTTCGACGAAACACTTAAGTCTTCAAAACGAATGATTTGTAAAGAATTGTAATGATGATTAAAGTATAACATTACCAGCCGTATGCGCTTTCTCATTTCATTTAACTAATTAAAGATTAAATATTTTGGTCCGTTTAATAACCATGTTACTCGTTTTGGTCATAGCGTTGCACATATTCATCGTTAATATTGTGTTATTTGCACATTCCTACGTTACTAGATATACACGGTGTAAATGCAATAAGATATTATCATTTAAATATTTTGTTAACTCAAAGTAAGAACATTCACACTGTATTGACATTAATGGATTAGATTTTTTGCATTTTTATATATTTTTGAATGATCATTGCATTGCACAATACCAAATACAAAATACAACATCGATCTTGTACAATTGATCATGTTGAAATTATGTAATACTTTTTCACAGAATAAGGTATATAAAAGCAGTAGGGGTGAAACAAAGTCTGGCAGTTTCAACAGCTGGCATTAGAATGTCTCAAAATAAATCTGGCAATGTCACATTTAACAGATTGATCAGCTTTAGAAAAAGGAGATGTCAAAATATGTGACCCTGTCATATGACATGTGATATCGAAAGAAAATTGAAACAGATAATAAAATAGAAGTAAATCATTCGTGTGACATGTTCTCATGGCTTTCTTCCTTATATATAGTTACTGTACTAGTATTAATAACATAACATTCAGAAGAGTAAATTATAAAATGCGACTGAATCGTGATAAGACTTAAGGTGTAGCCCTGAATCTGGTAAGGACTACGATAGGATAGAAGGCCAAATGAGGACCTTGGTGCGTTGAACTTATTTGTTAAAAACGGCTTAAACGAATTATTACAAATGTTTGATGTTTGTTTCAAGTGCATTTGCAACAAATTTGCATATTATATATCATAGTGATGGCACAATATAAATGTACATATATTACTTAAAATATTTGTCCCGAAGGCCTAATCGTTTCAATTTGAACTATTAATTAAGTTAAATACCATTTGTATCTGCGGAATGAGCTTCAATAAATTGTCTAAATTATTGTGCTGTCGGCTATTACATAAGTTATATGAATTCTTCAAATTGAACTTACCAACATTCCATAGCTACACTAAATATATGCTTTAAAATAGACATTCGCGGAGGTCTTAATCAAACCTAATTGAAACAATAGATTTATTTTAAGTGGTCTATCAGACTTCATTAAAAGGATTAAATATCAACTTGTTCATGTACCGTCAGCAATTAATATGTAGTTGCTACGAAATACTTCCATTCCAACAGAGGAAAGTATTTCTACTAGCCATATATTTAATCTATGTCTTTTAAAAGATGTTTGTGATGTGTACTTTGTAACTTGTATGGAGCGCACTTTTCTGCATAGTAATGAAGAAAGCAGACAAACATGTTGAAATCTTACAAAAATGTCAACTCTATCTCTTTGATATTTGATACTATGAAATTATTTCCACGAAGCAGATTTTATAATAATGTTTTAAGCAAGCGCAACATTTGAATGTCCGAGAAAGGAAATTAAGAAGACCACATAAGACAGTGTTGAATTTCTAACAGAACGCATTATTTATTACGCATCATTCACAGAAATGATAATACATTGTATGGTTAGCTATTTTCTCAAAATATTCAGTTTTCTGTTGTTTTTTTTATCATTTGCTTTACTTAACAATTTACTGCTTAATGCAGACAATTGTTTAGTCACTGTAAAAATGTGTAAAATTATAACGACAGAATGTGTTAATTTTCCCAACTCTTTAATCCAAATTGATATTTACAACACAATCGATTATCAAACATTTTTAAAAAACGCACTGTCACAAATTGATATGTATTCTGAAGTTTTAATGTTAACAATTGACTGCATTGCAATCAATCTATATTACGAATGTAATAAATTAAAAAGGAATGACAATTTTATCTACATTTGTCCAATAACCGAAAATGGAAGTAAATCAGACAAGTTATTAAAAACAAATGTATTTACTTCTTTTTATTAACAACATAAATATTCACGGAGGATTATAGCGCTTTTGAATATAATTATTTATCACAGTATGTTTTCGTTATTTTGTCGATAAACAGGTATTTCTCAAACCTTTTACAATAGTTACAAGGTATACTTTATCGCTATGTTTATCTGCTCAACATCAAGTTAAGCAAAATGATTGCTTAAAGGCTGTGAGAATATGGCTCTCAGTCAACTGAATTCGAATATAATATTTTCTTTTTAATTTATTAATAAATTATTACTGGGAACAGCCAGACAAGCGACTCATTTTCCAAAGTTATTTAAAACCAACATTTTAGTGTAGCATGAATAATTTACTTAAAGAAACCAAAATGAAAATATTTTAGGATACCTCTTAGCTAATTGCAATATCATAAGCATGTATCAAAGATGATACATGTTGTCATGAATGGTAATCGATAAGTAAAAATATGAAAATGGTATGATGACACAAGGTTTTGTAAGAGCGACATTGCACAATCATCTTTAAGGAAAAATATCGTCTTTTAATTTTACTTTTTCATAGATATGTTAATATATGTAACGTATTCAAAAATTTACAACTCTATTCATATTTAAAAGCTTTTAAAAGATTCATGGGAAATCATATGAATGTGATTAGGTCGATTACTTGCGTCTTAGAATTATCATACTTTTTAAGTTATTAGGACTTAAATAGAAAAATGGTGTATTTATATACAGTTAAAGTTTACAGTTTAGAAAAATGATACGATTCAAATCTTACAAACACAACTTGACAGAATATTAATGTGCCTAAAAACAAACCAAAAAAAAAATTGCACCACTAGTTTTATAAATTGAATGTTACAGGTACATTCCAATTGATATTTATAGAATTTTTCTTTGGCAACGTTTGTTATTAATCGTTCATGAGAGGCAAATTATAAATTTGTGAGGAATTATAGCAAAATTTAGAGTGATATTTACATTCACCTGTTGACTCACTATATACCCTAGGATGTGCATTATGTCATTTCAAAATACACCTTTGCGATTAATGTTGTTATACTCATTTGTATCCAGTGTTACATAAATTTTATCTCTTATCTGTTAAAAATTGTTTTATATTAGTTTTGATTATTTCTTTTACGTTTTATGTTAACAAGAGAAATATTTCCCTCTATTTTATGTTGATTTTTTTCAAGTGATATATTCAAATAAATGGAATTATTCAATTAATCATAAATTAAATTATCTATATTAAATTGGTATAAACATTATTCTTTCTTGTACCGATACGAGGACAAGACAAAGAAACAAAAACCTCTTTACTGACTGTTCAGCTGTTATAACAGGATTGAACATGCTTTGATCAGTTTAATATGATTGGTTACATTCATTTGTGTTATCTGTCGTTTTCTGTCGTTAACAAGTGAAAATGTTGAATACAATATAAAAAGAGGCTTTATGCTCAAAGATATCATTGCTATTACGGTATAACTAAACTAAGTGAAAGGTAAGTTGACGTTTTTAGACATGAATATTTTTACATTAATTTGTTTAAATAAAGGAATATAAAGTATGTTTTACGACAATACATTCGTTTTATATTTTTATTTTGTTAAATATATCAAAATACTTTAAATATACGTTTATGATAAAATGCGATTTAATGTAACTAAGAGGTAGTGTGAGAGAGAAACAGGGTTTTATGACATGTGCTATTGTAAAAATAATGTAAACAAATGGAATATGCGTACGCAAAAATATTAATATAAAGCTATTGAGTGCAAATAATTTCCTAGGGTTTAAGCGATGAAATTAATTTTTTAAATCAATCGATGCTAAATATTTATTGACAAATAATTTAAAACTCAAACTAAAACCTGTCCCGTATTGTTGAATTATTATTATTTTTGTTTTGTGTACACGTCAATACATAAGCATCACAGTGACTTATTTTTTTTCTCATATGTTTGCATATTTGATTTTCACATTATTTTGTAAATTGTTTATTTGGAATTCATATAATGCGTTGACGCGTCATTTGAAGTTGTTGTTTTGTTATTAGTCCGAATTAACAGACAAGTGAAGACGAAAACATGGCTCACCTTGCGCTCAACAGATTGAAGATCATAATTTTGATACTTGGACTCACTGGCCATATTTGTTGCGCAGGTAAAAAACAAAATTAATTTGATAAAGATTTGAAACTAAAGTTTGATAAGCAAAGGGAAACATTTTGTTTTATACACAGTTATAATGTTCACTTCAATTTTTGTTATTTTTGTGTACATACTGTTAAATTGAAAGCTTTAATAATATTACAAACGCATACTATTTTAGAATGAAGTTCGTGTAAATTTTAGAATAGTTTTGATGTCTATTTGTGTTCAAATGATGGACAGGACAGTTATTAAAAATGTATTTATATGAACAAATCGGAGATAAACATTTGTGATATGCCTTTACTAAGAATATGCTTCAACCATTAGACGAAGTATAAAATCATATTTTAATAGTCAGTCTATTAAACCTGAATGTGTTTTAAAAACTTTCGGTTTTAAGGCGATTAGTTTTGTTGTTGTAGAATTGTGCTAAATTATTGGAGTGCTACATTTATTTATGAAGTTTTTGAAAAGTGATTTAGCTTATAATTATTTGTACTTTTTGAAGACAAACTGGTCTCGAAAGACTGTCGATTGCTTCTTTTTTAATATTATCTGTTCTATATTTTTATTGTTTTAATTTATTATTTCTAACTATAAGTTACATTTAATATAATACAATAAATGTTGTCATTTTTGTTTGTTTGTTAACTACGCTTGCACGTTGTAGTAGAAGAATGTTTTGTTGTCTGCAAAATACTAGCTCTCTCGGTTCCATGCGACACGTTATTTTATTTCGGCACTCTCTGGATTGATATTTTCTCAGTATACTATTATGTCAATTCAGCCTTCATTTTCATTGAAAAAATATTATTACTGAACATTTATTTCAGAACATCATTTCTTGTTAACATGTAAAAGTTGCACAGTTTGACATTTATTTCCGTTCTCATCTTAATGAAAATAATAAAATGTAAAGGAAATGAAAGAAAGTTACCATCTCTTTATTATTTTTATTATTACTAAAACATTTCAATTCATGCAAAATTGTGAGGCAACCCATAGTTTTTACAATTTATTTATAATGATGTACCTTTTGAAAATAATGAATAGACATACCTTTAAATTGATTTCATGGTTAACATTAAACTAATAGAGAACATAACTACGATCATATTTGGTTAAAATTCAATTATTAAGCTTCAGTGACTCACATAGTGACTGAAACAAAAAGGACAAAAATAAAAATCGATAATTTTCTGTCTGAAACATTATATATTAACTGAAAACATAATAAGTTATACAGATAATTATCTAATATTTAAGTTATCGAACTCAAAAGTTTTATACTTATATTTTGTTTAAAAGGTAATTGTTGGCAGTTCCGGACATTTTTTTTTTGCTGTTATTTATCTATCCAACAAAATATCTAGTTAGTCTGATAAATATATGTTTTTATCGTGTCAACACGAAAGCTAACGTGTTAGTCAGAAAGTAAACTCGATAATTATATGGTTAACTGTTGGCAGAAATATGCCACTATATAAAGCAAATGACGAGGTATTTTCATTTTTTACTTAATATTCCCTAATGGATATTTCAAATTGAAATTGACAATTGTTCTCTATTACAGTTAAATATCCGAAACACTAATCAATCTTTCTTAGTATGTATTCGTTGTTTACTTAGTTGCATATCATTGTGAACTAGAAATGTGTCCATAGGACACGGGTGTCCCAACATTCCACCTATTTGTCAATCTTGTGTCTCTTGGTCAAATACATTTTGGCTACATATTCCCAAGTTGAAAACTAAAATTATTTTATTAAGTAAAGGACAAATACTACAAATACTGAATAAATCCACATGAAAACCCCAAGGTGCATAAGTACACATGCTGACCAACATTCTTGTAAACTTTCAGGCATACATGTCAAATACTTTTTTGAGTTACGTGCAACACAAGTTGAATATTGTATTTTAAAAAATCCAGAGAAAAATACCCAGGTGCACAATTAGACGTGATGCCCAATGTTCTTGTAAGGTTTCATGACTCAAGGTCAAATACTTTTTTATTTACGTGCGACACAAGTTGAAAATGGACATTTTTTCTAATGCAAAGGCAATAACTCAAAACATACTCAATATATCCTCAAAAAAATACCCAGATGCACAACTTCACATGCTGATCAACATTCTTGAAAGGTTTCCTGACTGTAGGTCATATACTTTTTAGTTACGTGCGACACAAGTTAAAAATTGCAAATTTTTACTAAGTCAAGGGCAATTATTCTAAAAATACAAAAACAATATCCACACGAAAATACACAGGTGCACAACTTCACATGCTAAGCATCATTTTTGTAAGGTTTCGTGACTCTTGGTCAAATACGTTTTAGTTATGTGCGACACAAGTTGAAAATTGGACATTTTCACTAATTCAAGGGCAATAATTCTAAAAGTACTAAAATATCCACACGAAAATACCTAGGTGCACAGCTACACATGCTGATCAACATTCTTGTAAGGTTTATGTACCAAGTAAAAAATACTTTTTAGTTACATGCGACCCAAGTTGAAAATTGGAATTTTATACAAATTTAAGGGCAATCACTCTAAAAATTCTAAAAGAATCCACAGGAAAATACCCAGGTGCCCAATGACACATGATGACCAACGTTCTTGTAAGGTTTCATGACTCTAGGTCAAATACGTGCGACAGAAGTTGAAAATGGGACATGTTTACTAATTCAAGGCCAATAACTAAAAAATACTTAATAAATCGTCACAAAAATACCCAGGGGCACAACTTCATATGCTGAGCAACATTCTTGTAAGGTTTCATGACTCTATGTCAAATACTTTTTTAGTTACGTGCGACACAAGTTGAAAATTTGAAATTTTTACTAATCTAAGGGCAGTAACTCTAAAAATACTAATATATCCACACAAAAATACCCAGGTGCATAACTACACATACTGATCAACATTCTTGTAAGGTTTCATGACTCTAGGTCAAATACTTTTTGAATTACGTGCGACACAAAAAGAGAACGGACGTACGGACGGAAGGACGTATGGACGGACGGAAGGACATAGTGGAAACACAAAAAGTAGAACCTAATGCATAAATATTTTTGACACTTTATCATATTAGATCGTTGGAACTTAAGTCCCTATTATCTTTATATCTCAAGTCATTAATTATATAACAGAATTCAACATTTTTTAGCATTTTCCTCTTTTCTTCATATATTAGTTTTGTAATAACATTGTTATTCGGTTGTTGATTGTTAATCTATATAAAACGATAAAAAGTGATGTGTTTAAAACTTATTTCAAACAATGCACGCTAACAATTTTAAAATTCTTTGAAAGTAGACCAATATTCGGAGAGATTTCAAACTGTTTAACTCATAGTCCTTTGTTTTCAAAATAAATATGCAAGACTAAAACTAACTTATGTATCGTGACGGCAAGTGTTTGACCTATTGTAGCTGAACTATTTAATATATATTGTATCCTATTCATCACGGTGTCGACGTTGGTGTAGGCGTCGGCATTGCCGTTAGCTTTTAGTTCGTAAACCCACCATTGTTTTGAAGAGCCGTAATGTTCAAGCTTCGAAACAATACCTCTGTACCTTTCAGGATATGAATTGAATACTTGTTGTTTATCATCACCTCCCATTCATGATATGAGACATTACTGTTTAATATGATTTGACAGAATTTCACTTCTTTCACAACTTAGAAATACAGTTTATTTTTTTGTGTCACATTACTGTTTTATTTAATGATGTAATACTCTTAACGGAAGTAAAATGATTTCAATCAAGCCATGCTCTTTTTATTATAATATAAAATTCATCTTACTCAACTTTCAAGCATTGTTTTTAAAGACCTCTCTGTTTTACACTATCAAGAACGTATTAAAGTCTTATGGACATCTTTGTTTAAAACCTTGTGATTTGGTTAGTGACTAGTACTAATTAGACACATTCATAAGAATTGCAGATAATTTAAATACACCGTCCTCGACTACAGTTTCACAGTGGCTTATTTTTGCTAGTGTTATTATTATCGCATTTATTATTTACCATTAGTTTTATTTATAGAAAATAACGAAACATATTTTCACATGCTCTTCGCATTAATTTCATAATTGACTTGCGTTCTTTGGAATTTTTTTCAACCAGTTTCTTTTATAGCTGTCCTATTTCTTTTAAAAGATAATATATCATCTTAACAAAACAATCATTTTCTTTTAAAGACTGCACTGCAAATTGCCACAACTACTTCTATAGGCGTAACCATCACTTATGATTGAAAATTGTGAACATTCTTACAATTTTGTCAATAAATATTTCCCTCAATGATATTCTTTATACTTGTCCCAAAGTACAAGTTGTTGGATAAGAATACACTGAAAATCAATACTCGGGTTTCTGAGTAGAAAATAATCCTATTAATGTAACGTCAGTAGTCCTATACCAGTTTAAATTACAACTATTAATCATTATGTGGCACATTGCAATTGATAATGTCGACGTTCATTGAAGTGTTAACGCAAAAACGGTTGCTATAAAATATTTGTTTTCCATTTGTTTTTGTTATTAAAGAACAAGTTTCAACTGTGACATGTTCAAGTACAGGAACTGAATGTAGTGCTATTCCCTTTTCCATATGTGCTACAAATAAATGCAAATGTAAGGACGGTTACAAGGAAGGCCCAAATGGAGGAAGCACTTGTGTTAAAGGTTAGTGACTGAAGATTTGATGCACATTACATTACAGTCTATCGTTTCCCCTTTTTACAATTCACAGCAAAGATAAATGCATTGGAATTTATAGCATTTTTCTTGCATTAAAATAACATTTCACGGTATAAAAAATATTCATAAATTTATTATCAATAACTGAAAAATCTTATTATAGTTTTGCATTAAAAAGATAATAGAATATCAACAGGAACACTTAATAACACTTATATAATTTTGTTTAGTGCTAGGAACCCAGTGCACAGGAAGCGATCCCTGTCCAGGCGCTACTAGCTCAGTATGTACAGGTTCTAAATGCACGTGTAGCACAGGCTATGGTGAAAGGGACAATGCTTGCAAAAATGTAAGTGCATTATATAATAAAAAAACAAGTTTAATGTTACCAATACTTCTGAAGTATACCATACACTTAACCAAATGTTTACTGACCAACATTTAATATAAATTGATTTGGAAAGTCTTAGTTATGTCGTACACTTCACATATGGTTCCGATTTAAAGATTAATCGTATCAAAAATACTTAAGAATTTAAATCACATGAAGCTTGTGTTGATATTTTCAATTTTAATTGAATATCTAATTAAGAAAAACAGATGAAGTATACCCCAATGTTTTTCAACAACTGCGCCACTGTAATGTCAGCCGTAAAAGTTTCTGTCCGCCTTTTCTTTACTTTACAAACATAACTGTAAACTTTGCTTAAAGATTTAACTAAAAATCTAAAGACGCACCTTTTTGGGTGAAATTAATAAAGATAGACTGGGGCTCCAATGCTATTATAAACTTTTAGAAATTTTTAATTATACGTGCTCTTATAAATGTAGTGCTATAGGAATGTTCATCAGAGTTTGACCGTCTTTGAAACATCATCAACTGTTACATGTCTGAGATAACGTAATAAAGTTTGCCGACAATCTGAAAAATAACTTGACATCTGCATTAACGAAGTCTATAATGGCCAATTCCGTCTTTGATATTTACTATTTAGCATCTTTCCTTTACATCAACTTTGCAGTGTTGAACACCGTGACGTGTCAAGCAAACGGTAATGAGTGTGACCCGAATGAACATACTGAATGTGACACAGTTAAGGGAAAGTGTAAATGTGCAGCTGGTTTTACAATGAATGTCGACGTCTGTACGGCTAAAAACACAGGTAAAGTAATATACGACTCGTAAACATGGGTACTTAAACATGTCTGGCATAATGCACGGGTCCATTTATGTCCTCCAACTCCAATGAAGCTACAAGTCGCAGTATGACCTATTATACTGTCAGTGTAACGTAAACTACATCCCTCTTATGCAATTTTGCTTTTTAATGATTAATCAATATTGAATAATATATTTGCGAAATACTATTGCTCTTTCCTAAACAAGTAATAATATATTATGAATGTTATATACCTAAATTTTCATAAGCAAACATAATTATTTTTGACTAATTTTAATTGTTCAGGAGTTACGCTGCTTTCTTTTTTCTAGAAATAGCAGTTAAGTAACTGCGTTTTGAGATATTAGAATGATATATCATTATCTTATTTATACATGTATTTACTGTTTTATACTTAATTGTATTCATTTTTTGTAAATTATTGAATAATGTAACAATTTTGCACTTTTATTCCATGTTTTGAAATTAAGTCAACCCGAATTTGTAACATTGCACTTGAATTCGTGTAATTTTCTTTAATCTTATACATGAAGGAAACTTCTGATTACTTTAGTTAAGTCTTGACTTAAGTGCCTTAGTCAGTGTTGTTATATATTTTTTGATCCTTTGGGATCATTGAGGCCAGCACTATTAAGTGCTGGGAGCGAGAAGGATTTTGCACGTTTTCTTTTCATTATACCTCATGTACAGACTCAATCAAACCGAGTCTGCAATTGTGACGTCATTTTGTTGTGATTAATGCTTTCGAGGGATCACTGTTTCCAAAATTGTTTTAGGGGACAATTTCCTTTCGATAGCGCTAGAGGGCGTAATATATATTCATTTTCGAATATCTCATATCAATATTCATCATTGTTTTAATTTTTGTTTGTTTGTTCTTTCACATTCTGTATATCATTTCAAAGGTGCTACCATTACGATGAAACTCGGCCTATTTGCCATACCGGTGGTCCTTGCACCCTGAGGCAGTCAAAAATCTCAGATAAGACGGTATCATATTTGTCTTTACAAGAGTCCATTAATGATTTCTCAGAAAGAAAGAAATGTTTATTGTCAAAGCTTTAACATCTTAATATATAATAGACATTTGAGCATACAACAACGTGAAACTAGGAATTTGAAACCACAATTTTTTATGGTTTTACTGTTCACGAACGGATAAGTAAACTGTTGTTTGTTCATTTAAAAGTGTGTGTGTTTTTTATAAGTGCCCGTCTACACCTATCCAAGTCTTGAATGCAAGTAAGTCTTAGACGTCAAATATCTTCATAATAAAGGATTTAAAGACATAATTTTTCATTTAGTAATAAGTTTCATCGAAAAAAATGTTTTTTGTCAAACTTTTATTCTTAAATTATTATAAAAAATAGAATTTGAACCGGCATTTTACTTATCGACTGTTTTGTATTGCATTAATTAATATAGTTGTTGTTTTTAATTATTTTAACAGAAATATGATATTCTTCAAAACAAGGTTAAAACCTAGATACTAATATACTTTCAGTAAATTTTACTTTAGTTTAATTTCAAAAAAAACATTATTAGTTTTTTGTTGTTGTTTTTTCAGATCGTCAAAAGCTGATGAAACGATTCTTCAGAACCGGAAGTATATATATTATATGATTTACTTTTTTCCTTATGACATTCGGAGTTATTTTAGTGCTTTTTGAAAAGTGTGTAACATAAACCGTTTGTTTCTCAAATCTATGCTTTTCTGTGATGTAAAGAACTTGTTACTTACGTGATTTGTGCGAAATGCAAGTAGATATATGAAAATACAGAAAGCATGAATATATTTAATAAGTTGATAAACTGACAATCTGTTTACAAAAAAAAAAAGAATTTATATATACTGGCATTTATCTATTCATTTTTTAAAAAGAATTATTGATATTTTTTAGTTGTTTTTTCTTTTTGTTAAAAACAGTGGTTATTGAATATGCCTTTGATTTATTATCAAATGTTCGATTGTTTGGACTGAATTAACTGTGTAAAACGACATAAAATAATTTTCGATTTCACTTTCCATGAGTGAAAGCAAGGGAACTTCTAATATAACAAATTCGAAAATAGCAAATGTTATGTTATGTACTGAAAACTAAACTATTGCAAAAGAAGAAGAACAACAAAATTAACAAACAATTTAATTAACAAACAAAAATACAGATTTTTGATTTAATCAATTACATACCCGTGGAAGTTTTATCAATGACAATTTTCAATTATGTAAATTATAAATAAAAACAGATACTTACATCTAAACCAGGACAGCATGAATCAAACGGAGGACTCAATGCTACTGAGCATGCATGCATTGACTGAAATAAGGATTCGACTACAGTTTCAATAATTAAATTTGGACCCTAAAACTATGCTAAACTGCACTGTATAAATATCGAATAATCTGTAAGTTTAAGTGAGAAAGTGAGAGATAGGTGAGTGAGTGAGTGAGTTACGTGCCGAATCCTATTAATTTTTTGCCGAATCGTATTTGTATATGTAAATATTTGTATATCCAAAGTTATACATAGCAATGTGTGTTTGTGGTAAGTTTAAAAGCAAACAACCGATTACATACCTAATTGTCTAATCATCTTTTGTCATTCAAAGCAACTTATGTAAACAAAATATAGTATAGTTTCAATTTATATCTTAGAAATGTTGTAATATTGTTTAGGATGATGATAATTTATAAATATAATTTTCTTTTTCTCAATTTGTATTTGATTTGTTTTAACGTCAAACCGACACAGTAAAGGTCATATGTCGACGTTCCAGCTTTACTGGTGGAGGAAGACCTCAGGTGCCCTTCCGTATTTCTCAATTGACGGGCTATTGTTGATCAATAAGAGTTAATATAGTAATAGAAGAGCAAGGTCATAATATACAAAATAAGCATAAGTAAATAATGAATTCAAATGTAAAAACGAATTGGCAATTATATTAAATGTAAATTGGAGATGCTGAAAGTTATTATAAAATTAATATACTCGAACAAGCGATAACAAAATAATTGGTAAGTCGTGTTTATACCAACTCCCGCTGCAACATTCCCTCCTCCGCTCACAAACATACGCACACATTACATTTCTATAAATACAGTTGTATATACCAATATCAAAAAGATATTGTCAAATTATTCTTAACAAAAGTAAACAGTGAACAATATTTTCTTACATTTACACGTGAGCTTAAAAATGTCATTCTCATGTTAAAATTGTTCGATGTTAGCTTCAACATTGATGAAAAGTGATTTTTAAAGATATACTAAGCTAAAATTGGATAGAAAATAATGATAATGGTGCTCAGTCTTTTTGTAAATATAAAATAAACATCATTTGACTTCACACAAAGAAGATAATTATGTAAAGTTTTAAACTCATCACACAATAGGTTGTCATAATAATTATGCATATATAGTGTCGTGAATAAAAATAGCAGTTTAAAAAAAGTACTTGTCTTGTAATAGTAAACGTGACTTCCCATACATTGTTTATTCGTTCTTTTCTACAAATTAGACATATTTTGTAAGAATTTCATAGATTTTATAACATTTCTTTGATCATGGATGTCATAGTATATTTTTACTGTATTAACTGATATCGAAGTGTTAGTGTTTTCAAATATACGTGACAATTTCATTTTTGTCATTATGCTGTCTCTTATTAAGTCTTACCAAGTGTCATTTATAATAACCTGCACAGATATTTAAGAGAGACATTTTTTATTCTGTCCTGACATTGTTATCATAATACAAAATACGATTTTTTCGCGGGACTTTATTCCCGGATTGTTGTTGCTTCAAATTAGAAATATTGTCTTACGGATATTTATAAAAAATACTTATTCCAAATTGTAACTATTTAATAGCTAGCTGATATAAGACGATATCATAAGATAAGTATGACATAAATGTATTATAACTTTATAAGGTCACGTAGCAATGCAGTGTGTGGTTGTGTAAGTTAGTTGAAATATTAAACTGGTAAAACAAGCAGTTGTTGTTGGTTTTAAACGAATTTAAAATGGGATTTTAAATGAATTTTTTTCAGCGAGTTTAGATTTGTGTTGTCATTCATTGTCTGTATTCACTTAAGATGTTCTTAAAGCAACATGTGTGAAGGTCTTTATAAAAACTTTAAGTTCTTTAAAACATCTTTAACTTATTGTTTCATGTGTTTGTCTACTTTATTTTAAGATTGAATAATATTATGTGTAAGATTAATGATAAAGTGACAAATATTAGTTGTTTCACAATCAAGCATAAATAAATATTTTTAGACTTAGATGAAATACCTCTGTATCAATAGAATGAATGTTGTATTGCTATTGGCCATATTTTTCGAGTAGTTATTCTGACGTTGCAAATGAAGAATAATAAGCTCTACAGTCATACATATAAGATGTTTCGCAATCAAGCTTAAATAAATATTTCTAAATTGCTGTCACAAGAGTCATCATTTTATTTGAGAATTCTTTATCAATATTTATTAGATACACGTATAAAAAATAATACGTACATATTTGTTTGACTTTTTGAAGTATGATTACTTGTTTGGTGCGCATCATTAAAAAAGGAAGGAAAGAAACATTTTAAATATGTTCATATATAAACCAAATTGAATATTGACCAAAAACAGATTATCAAAGATTCACAAAAGATGCACTGTAACAAATTTAGATGACTGCATGGCAATAAGTCTATGTTTACGAATGTAATTATTTAAAATAAAGTTATGACAAGATAATCAACAACAGTGAAACAATTTGACTAAAATAACCCTGACGTTTAATTAGGGTTGTTCTTTTTAACACAAATGCGTTTTACAGTTTATGATGTAGACTAACAGTTACCGTGCCTTTAGATAAGAATATTTTTAGTAGTAATTTCCGTTATCTTGTCTTATTTGTTTTAACAGACTTCTCGAAATATATACGACCTTAACGATTTTGTTATCTAAGTAATTTATAATATCATTCATTTGCATATCGGATCATACGTCACAAAACAAAGGTACAGGTAACCATGCACGTTTTATCAGACTGAAGATAGTTACTTAGAGGGTGTAAACATGGCAAGTAACAATTTAATACATTTTTACAATTATTTTCACATCTACTTTGACTGTTTATTTGTCTTGATAATTGTTTATTATGCATATTCGGTTTAATTCCTTATAATATTAGTTTGTTTCATAAGATTATACATATTTAATGTAGGTTTAGCACATATGTTTTAGATTGCTGATGTAAGTTCAATAAGATGAACGACAAACTAATATTAAATTGGAAATGCTTTATATCGTTTAAATAATATATGAAGTTTTTCAGCAATCATTTAAGTATTTTATTTTTTATTACTTTTTATCTCGTGAGTATTTTTTAATATACATAAAGTATGATCTATTTCAATAATTTAATTTATTCCATAAAGGTTTTATTTCTATGTGAAACGCAACATCATGCTCTGTTTTGTCCTCTATTTTATTATTCAAGTTAATGTCATTTTAACGTATAACCACAAATATATTTTAATAAAGAGAATACAATAAAATGTTGCGATTTTACGTGATTCCTGTTGAAGAGAAAGGGGATTCTATTTCTGTGTAAATGTTCTGTATAAAAAACAAAATAAAATGTTAAAACGCTTCAATGGCAGTTATCGATAATGTCTGCATCTATTCATTGACTATTTGTTTTTATTTATATATTTAAATGCACATTTGTTGATGAGTCATCAGATCCAGCTTAAACGTTATTGTTTTTAAAAAAAACCTTGTTTTAAGATTTCTCTGATTATACTTTTATCCGTTTTGTGTATCAGGACCGCTTGTGGCATTCGATTTTAACTGGAATATTGCTTATTCATTTTTCAAAAGCAGGTAAGTGAACATTAATATTTTTTCATCAATTGTGTGTTTTCGTTTCGTAAACTATACTAAATTTATCAAAAAAATGTATCCAAACAATTTAGCGCAAATCAAAGTTCCAAGATCTGAAGATTTGCTGCCCGCGTGGGTTCAAACCCAACCGGGGCAAGCCGTTGTTTCCATGAGCAAAACACATTATACTCATAACCTAGTACTGGTTGGTTCCAGGAACGAATTCGAGAGAATTTCAATAAGCTTAAAGCTTCCTGCACAATTTGAACTGAAATAAATTAGTTAAAATAACGATACGTGTAGATTTTGAAAGTATATATTTTGAGCAGCACTTAAAAGGTTATTATGAATTATTTCTTGAGCTGTATTATCAGTTCGTTCTAAAGACTATTCACAGGCTGAGTGACATTTTAAAAACAGTTATCATCAGCTTAATTCTTAAGGCATGTAGCTTACAAGAAATTCTAGATCAGATTAAGAAATTGTTGGCGTATTGTGATTAATTAGTCATTTAGGAGTTAACCTAGTTTTTTTTTTTAATGATTTCTCAATTTAATATGTAACATTCGTCTTTGTTAATCTGACCTTACTTTCTGGTGAACCGATCTTGAATTGAAAATAAAAATTATAATTAAATCAGGTTAAAAAGTTGTATTGAACGTATTTCTTATCTTGTTGAATTAATTATGAAACATGTGTGTAACTGTTCCATATTTTCAATTCAAGCTCTACCTACCGGATGTGATGACGGAACTCATAGTTGCCCCGCCAACTCTGCTTGTACGTCAGATACTTGTGTTTGCAGTGACGGTTTTAAGCTCAATACCGCCGCAGACGGTTGTGTGGCAAAAGGTGAGTGTTTGATAATGAAACTAAAGAGTATAATAGTTAAATATTTAAATTGATAAGTATTATGTGTTTGCCCTAGTGGCGATAAAAAGTTGATATTTTTTACCATTGATTTCCAACTGTGTTCTGTGTTTTGATGACGGAAGCTTTATTTTCGGAAATAGATATATTGTTTAATGGAGATAAGATTTTAGCTGCACGGTTTTGAAACACTGACCCTTATTACCAGTAAAGTATCAAAAGGCCGGATATTAAATTATTAGTAATATTTTTCCGTTAGAATTTAGTTTGGCTGTAGTTAATTTAATTTTTTATAAATATAAAATCGATATATGCCAATGAACGTTAAAATGCAGTTATTTCTTAGCTAATAAGATGCACTATTGATGTCATTATGTATGATAATTACATGAACTACTTCATGTGTTTTCTGGCGTATAAATCCTCGATTGAGAGTGTTAGTCATTTATCATTTACACTACCATTTTAATATGTATGAAATATTTATGCATTTTTATAAAGCAGCGCTTACGCTAATAATTACGAATTGCCAATTATCGACATAATCATAATTAGCAACTTTATTTGTAATAATTAATGTTTAATTGTCACAAACAATTTCATGTTTTTGACTGCTTCGTTTATGGTGTATCTGAATTATGAGTTAATTATAGCGAAAGTGACAGATACAGACTGTACAAAAGGCACTGCAGACCAGTGTACAGGTATTGAACATGCAGAATGTAATAATGCTGCAACTAGTGCTTAATGTAAATGTTCTAATGGCTATGCAGCGGATAGAAAGACTGGCACTTCTTGTTTTAAAAGTAAGTAAAATTTAAAATCCCAACTTGTTTAAAAACCTATACTCTAATGCATGTTTATCACCAATTAATAAAGTTTGTACCGTTATCAGAAATGAACAACAACTACATTTTACATATTGCATGTATATGATTTACAAGTAATAAATGTAATCATAGTAATATTCTGAAGGTGAACCATTTAATTTTTATTGTATCACAATAAAACTCACACAACTGTAAACGAAAAAAATATTATTTTAAAAGGCGTTCTAGTTGTTGAACATATATATTTATGAACTGAGTCTGCTTACGATACTCTTAAAATGCCAGTTTTCAAGATTTTAATTACGTATTTAAAGCTGTTAGCAGCATAACTTGTACAGCGGATGGAAAAGAATGTGATGTCATTAAAAACTCACATTGTGTGTCCACAAAGTGCCAATGCGACGATGGCTTTGCAATGAATGTTGATATTTGTGCGGCAGAAAGTTCAGGTAAAGATAATATTTGTAATAAATGTGTATATGTGGAAAATGACGGCATGATTGTCAAATGTCATAATATTATATCAGATTCTTTCGTGAATCTCTTATTTATGCTATATTTGAGTGCACTATAGATTAAAAAAAGATAGACCGGCTTAGGTTTAGTATAATTCTACAAATAGAGTTGACCAGTTTCTGTGACTTTGTGTCTTTGGGTCATTTTTCTACCCTGCAAAGTGTTAAGTATTTCTTGGTGTCTACCAAATTATATGAAAGTACCATATTTGCATTTTTAGACAATTCATATTAAAGTCAAATGCTTCTTTAATGCACAATACAGATTAAATTTCAAGTAAGCGAAGACAGATTATGGTGTTGCTTGTTTAATTGATTAAAAACAACAACAAAAACAACAACAACAAAACTTATTATAGAAAATAACAACGACAGGTTAAGCATTGTACTTGTTGGTATGGGGTGTATCAAAGTATCGTTGAATACTGGAGCATATAATTTAAAGAGAAGGTCCCTTCACTAGCAGAAATAATGAGAAAGAAAACAAGTCAAATATAACCTAAATAACATCTTAGATAAGGCGTGCTAGATTTAGATGATCACTGACAAAATCGCAAAATTTCCGGACCAAAAATAAGCCTGATATACGGTAACAAAATGAAATATAACGAATGATTTATAATGTCAAGAAAAAGAGAAATAGAAAAAGTAAATGAAAAGGAAATTACGCGGAGAAATGGTTTACAGTATATCAAAACAATCTCACCATCGTAATATCCAACCATGTAGCCTGTAAGCTTTTCGTCATGATAAAATTCTTCATATTTCATACGGAAAAGTTTCTATTTGCCACAGTGGCTTTAAAAATATTCCTCGTTATTCCGGCCAAAAAAGCCTTCACTTGTATCGAAAATATCAACAGGTTTATCAAGTTAAGTTGTTTATGGCTGTTAAAAAGTATTTAATGATGTTTGTTTTCTAGCTCTTTCTCTTCTTCAATTATGAACCGCCTCCGTGGTCGAGGGGTTAGAGTCGATGACTTCTAATCCAGTAACCTCTCTGGCGTGGGTTCGATCCCCGGGAGATGCTTTGGTAGTTTAGCGCGGAGGAAGGTAGTGTAGTACTGGTGTAACTCTCCAGGAACGATGGTTATATGACTGAAATACTGTTGTGTTGGAAAAAGGCGTATAATGAAACAAAGAAACAAACAAATTCATCAATTATATCAATTACAAGGTAAAAGTCATACTGTGTTTAAGTTAAGACCATAAGAAATTGCTTACATACAAAACTTAATGATATTCAATGTTTTTGTTACAGCTATATCTCTTCACTTTGGCAGTTTGACGTTGTTCTTCTTGGTTTCAACTATGGTTCGGCACTTGTTCTGGTAAATTATTGCACGGTATTCTTGATACATCTTTTCATTATACATGTATATATAATACCGATATTATACCGAATTTATCTTCATCCTTTCAGTGTTTATAAAATATTTCTATCATTGAATAGCTATTTTAAGTCGATTATCGTTTCTATTAAAGAATATGAACTGTTTAAATATCTGATGAAAATATCATTGTAGATTGTAAAAAATGCAACGTACCGAAACATGTGCAGTTATCTTTTTCAGATTGTGAGTCAGGAAGATACTTCTTTTGGTGATTTTTTTTTCAAACTTGTGTATCGTGTGTACTTCTTTAGATTTTTGATGTGTATGATGTATAATTAAAATGATTCATTGTTGATCAAGAGAAGAACTGAACTGCTGAACAGTTTTTGTATTAGTTTTATTTTTAGTTTTTTTTCTTTCTTTTTTATTCCTAAAGATTGTTAACCTTACATTTTAAGTTTAAAGTTAATTATGCCTAGTATTCAAATGCAAATTGACATTGAATATGAAATATTAGTCAGTCACCATGAATAAAGATATTATTTTGAAATATTTAGTCTATTTATCATTAAATATACTAATTAAACTCAAATTGACAGCGAAAAAAATGCATTATGTTACTTTAAAGCTCTATATTAAACAAAACATTTTAGTGTTTGTATATTAAAAACATATATATACATGCATATATTAACTGTCTAAATATTCTTTTTTGCTTGTAACATTGAATTAAACTTTTAAAAGCTTCATGTTGACATATACATTTAATTTAACCCCACTGTCAAGTTAAGCATGTTAAATAGAGAAATTTGCTTGCTTTCAATTGGTCATTGCTAATGTAACAGACACAGATAGCACTATTGACATAAATAGAAATTTGTCAATTAATTTTTTTCAATTTAAATAATGATTTGTTAAACATTTTGTAATAAGATTAATTGCATTGAATTTGAAGAAATTGGTTTATTGAAACTACAAATGCTATTCTTTCCTTATCATGGAAATTCTTTAACGATAAGCAGTTGTTGACCAAATAATAATTTATACATATTACTATAATGATCAAGAATTTGTTCAGAAGAAATGTGCGAGTACAACAATAAATAGCAAATATTGTTTTATAAAATACATAAGGATTTAATGCATTACACAGGCTATCATCCAAATCACGATCAAATGTTAATTTAAATGCATGAAACACATTGTACACTCAATAAAATGTTGTTACTGAAAGCATCGATGTTTTATGTTTTCCTTGTATGTACATTTGTCTTACTTTAAATTTATAAATTCCACCTATCATACAATATCTCTGAGAGTACTAACAATACATGCCTTACAATTTGTGTTAAACTGATAGCACGGTGAAATTATAATCAAAATAAGTTATAATCATAAGTGGCGGCATGGCCAAATGGTGCACGCGTCTGACTAGTAATCTAATGATCGTAAGCCGCATGAGTTCTTACCTAGTGAGAAGCAGGTCGTTATTTCCTTAAAACAAGAAACTTTACACTCATTGTTCAGTACTAGTCGGTTCCAGGAACTGATTCGAAAGTGTGTTTATAAGACTTTAGCTTCCTACACAATGGAACTAAAATAAATCCTGCATAACGAAACATGTATATTTTAAGGTCATGTTCTCTGGTCGGTTCCAGGAACTGATTCGAAAGTGTGCCTATAATTAAACGATTATAGCTTCCTACACAATGGAACTAAAATAAATTCTGCATAAAGAAACATGTATATTTTAAGGTCATGGTCACACATGAATTATTCAACGGGTCTTTTGTCAAGTGTCACATGTTAAAACAGCCATAAAATATCCACATCCACTTTTTATCGACTGGAGTTGTGTCTACTTATATCAATAGCGACTTCGCCCGTAGGACCTTAAACCACTTACAAGCAAATATTATACATGAGCTTGCTAAATATTAAATTTGAATTAGTTAAAATGTAACTAAATCTACCCGGAAACTATTTTTCAAATTTTCAGTATCAATGACATTGACCTATAAGTAGACCAATTAAAAGGTGGTCACAAGTAAGATATCAAAGAAAAATATCGAAGAAAGATATCAACATTAGTTAATAAATTGCCTAAATTGGTGAAAATATGTTATGTTTGACAGTTACTATAACCCGCAAACTTCATTCTCTGATCAACTGACTTTGATATTTGCCATGACCCCCAGGAAACTAAAGAAAATTCCAAACAAGGTCCAAATATTAGCTTGTTTATTACACAGTTTGTTTATATCAACTCCGTGCTTCTAATTTTAGTAACATTAAAAGACCAAGTTAAAGGAATATGTCGGTAATTACTGAATAATATTGATCGCTAACCATTTTTATGCTTTAGTTATAGTTACCTTGGCTTAAGGATGACATTCAGCGAGTCTTGGAATGTTTTTAGTTTGATTACCTAACGTTGTTTCGATCAGATCAAAATGATCATTCGCTCATCTGATAACCAGTTTTCAAAATTGATAAATTTTAATACATATCGTTATTATTTATTTACTTAATTTAATGAAGACTTAGGACTTTGTTTATGTACAAAAGAACATTGATGAGTTTGTTCATAGTAAAACAAGTTAGTATTCTTACAAAAGCTAATTATTTATATATGGCGATGAATTCTTTCGTTTCTGATTTAGCAACATTTAACAGTGAAAGTAGAAAATTTATCTCAATATCTCATGCAATTGTATAATTTATACGTTATCTTTCCCGTCAAATTATAAGATCTTTTTAAATCCAGTGGTTTTCTTTTCCGTATTCAAAAGGTATAAACGAATATCGAATACGTGTACCATTAACATGGTCAATGCATTTATATGATGTTGCTGTCAAGTTGACTATGATTTAAAACATAAAGCATGACAAAAAAAGCCTAAAACTATAATAAAATACCTTCGTTTTGTAAAGAAAATTAAATGTTCATAACTTCTGAAGGATATTTGTGGAAATTTACATGAGACATGCGGTTAATTGAATATTTTTTCGAAGTATTATATATAAATAATTAACTAATTTCGGCTCAATGTTAAGTTATTTTGATATTCTACCAGTTTATTAGAAATTTTTTGTTAGATTGGCACAATATCATTTTGATGCATTTGACTGAAGTATATATAAAGAATAAGGAAGAGCCCTTGGAAACGATGATGCATATTGTAAATAAAGAAATTAATTACATCTGAACAAAATAATTCCTTACTTTAACTTTCTTTATAGATCAATTTCGCCTAGATAAGGAAATATCCTTTCCAAGTTTTTACCATTTTGTTTGAGATAATTTGTCTATGGAAATATGTGTGTGTTTCATGTGATTTTGGTATTGAACTTTAGAAATAAAGCGTACATTTTTGTTTATTATATACTTATAAATGTAATAATGAGAAATATTGATAAAATGAAATGCGTATGTCCGTTTTCTATATTTTCACTTTAGATAAATTACTAAAACAATCTATTCAATTAAAATAACAATTCGATGCAAGATATTTTTGTACAAGAACGAGGTGCCCCTTTAACTATTTTCCGGCACCGTTCTTTAACACATAATATGTATCAATAGATGCTTATTAGCCTTATAGCAGCTTTATTAAGTTGGAAAATAGAATAGACAATATAGACAATGATGAAAAAGATATTTCGTTAATCTGGATTTTCATTTGATTGAGACAGCCATGGTCTTACAGCAGGATGATAGCTCCGTTCAAAATAATGAGACTGAAAAGGTAGTTCTTCCGATTGAGCGATATGTCAACAACACTATCAATGTCAAAAATCCGCCTTTTGTTACTTGTAACAAAACATTTGCTGATGAATTTCTAGCAGATGGCTTTAATAACAAACTAGTCTAAGAGTAAAAAGTAACATTAATTTGTTCTAGGAGTTCTTGATATACGTGGGTGAAAACAGGCCAATTCTTGAAGTCCCGGCTGAGCAATCTGCATATGTGAGTAACTTTATTTATGCAGTTAGAAAAACGTTGGAAAGGAGTACGAGCCAAACTCTCTCATTACTTAGTTCCAGAGTACTCAAAGATAATTATCTTAATGTAAAGCAGTATGGTTTCTCCCTATACAAAGATCAAATTTTTCAAATGTATAAGCAGGTGACAAAGCACTTAAATTCACAAGGAAAAGGCAACAGCCCAAATGCTGCTGCTGCTACTACTGCTGCTATAATATCTAAAAATATAGAGAAATTCTATGAAGCAAACCAGCTCCTAGAGCTCTTCAAAATTCTATGTGGTATATTTGAATTTTTTTTTCTTCTTGGAATGACGACTGGCACACAGGTTCATTCTCCTTAAATTGTTGGAGAGATATTAAATTGTTGTGTGATGGCTCCGAATATCTTGTGTTCAGTCAGGAGCGCCAAACAAAAACAACTAGGACTGGAGCTGATCCTCGTGACACTTGAAAAATTCTTGAAAAGCATACACGGTGTCCAGTGGCTTTATATAAGCAATTTACTGATAGGCGTCCCGAAGCAATGTTGAAACTCTCCATTCTTCTTAACTGTAGTGTCCAACCATCCTGAAAATTGAAAACCATGATAAAAGAAATCTGCTATGGGTAAAAACAAACTCTACAGCATTAAGAAGGACTTGAGGCACGTAGGAAACATAGGTAAGCCAAATTAAATACCATACAGGCAAGTAATGGAAAAAAATACATTTAAACATTTTATAAGAAAAAAACATATATTGCAAAACCAGTTGTTTGAAGTCATAATTCCTACTGGTCGGGCAATGCATTATTTTTTTCAATGATACTTATTGATATCGAGAACAAATAGTAAATAAAGTTTGGCCAAACCGTCATGTGTTTTTGGTTCGGTAATACAATAACATTGTATTACAAAACCAGTTTTTTGGAACCAGGCCTCCTTCTGATCGGATAATGCATTAATTGCCGCCATATATATTTTTTTGATATCGAATAAAAAAATGTAAAGAAAATGTGTGTTTTCGATTCCGAAAAAAACAAAATATTTTAAAAAGATATAAGAATTTGCATGTTGGAAAATGTACCTGAAAAATGGACCAGAAGAAGTCACCATGCATTATTTGTGCATTTTGCTCCAGAAGAGCAGAACTTAAGTAAACTCATTCTTACATATGAGGGGTGAAACTATATTATAAATATGAAATTTGCAAACACGCTTTAACTGAGTATGTTAATGGGTGATAATGTAAACGATCAGTGCAACATCCCTCACGCCCCTAGCACCGGCCTATGCGGTATACAATCTGCATCACTTACGTGCTGGAATCAATAATCCAGAAAAAAGAACCAAAATATAACAACACTGGCAAGGATTGACAGCTGTTACACGGCACCAGTTTTTGCGAAATATAAAAATGATAAAAGTTTACGGAAAATTGTGTGGATAAAATTGATCGGCATTTTTTTACTGGACATTTGTATTGAAAAAATACAATGTACGAGGTATGATCACAAAGTTCTCGACCCGATAAACTTCTAGCCACTACACTGACATTTACAAACGATAAGCCGATACCGATATCTAATTGAAGATTACTGACCGAGCTACACACGGATTTAAACTGATTAAGTAACATAAGACACACTTTGTTCAGTGTTGGGGTGTGTCATTTAGACCAAATAAAGAAAATTAAAATCAGAGCCGTCATTAAGTATCTCTGTAAGAAAGCGATGTCCCCCAAGGAAATCCATGAAGACTTCATGGATATACTTGGGAAGGAGTCCTTTTCCTATAGCACTGTGAAAAAATGGGCTGCTGAATTGAAGAGGGACAGGGAAAGCATTGGAGATGATGAGTGGCTTGGACGGCCAAAAGAGGCCACCAATGTTGACACTGCCGAAGCTCTGCCCGATGTAGTCATGTGCGACAGAAGGTGAGACCGATGAAGCATTGCTAGGTGAGTGGGTATTAGCTTTGGTTCAGTTCAGGCAATTCTGACTGATGTCTATGACATGTCAAAGCTTTCCGCTAAATGGGTCTCTAGACAGTTGACTGTCGACCAGAAACGAACCAGACTTGACATTTTAAGATATCTTTTGTCTCACTACGAGAATAAACCTGATTTTATCTACCGGATCGTAACTCAGGATGAAACATGGATCCATCACTTCGATCCAGAATCTAAAAATACAGAGCATGCAGTGGAAGCACCATGGCTCACCCAGACCAGACGAAATTTTAGAGGGTGCCATCAACAGAAGATGATGGCTTCAATTGTTTTGGGATAGTCAGGGGATAATCATAATTGACTATCTTGAGAAAGGTCGTATTGTGCAGACGAATTGATACGTCTGTGTCAAGACATCGCGCTTAAATGCACGATAATGCGCAAGCTCACACATCCCAAGTTGTGATGGCTGCTGCAACTGACTGTAGCTTTCAAATTCTACCCGATCCCCCATATTCTCCGGATTTGGCCCCCCTCTAACTGTTTCCGAAACTGAAAATCAAGCTTCGTGGTAGTTGTTTTAGAAGCAATGAAGGTGTCATGGAGGCGGGCAATGAGTTCTTTGAGGAACAAAAGAGTTCTATTTTGAAGGGTAAAACAAGTTGGAGCACAGGGGGGTAAAGTGTAATGATGACGAAGGCGATTATATCGAAAAGTAAGACCATTAGTTGGGTTCTCTGACTACCGGAAGGCCAATAACATTTTGATCAATACTAGTATATTGCTGTAAATGTTGGAAATGTTAATCACTACTTGTTTAAACTTGTATTATTTGGACATCGTTCTTGTATAATAAAAAAGTATATTTTTCCTTTCCAGTTCATTATAATTTTAAGTAAAATGTTCTAAGATCGTATATTTGCATAATATCATTAGAATTATTCTTTGAATTCTGAGGTACATGTGTACTTATAAACGTATTCAAGTTCAATATATATTTTCTTAATTTCCCATACTATGCCTCATAGGTAATCTTATAAACAAAAGTTTACGATACTTAACGCTATTGGATACAGGGTGGTGGTACAAGGGTACATTAATTAGGCTATTTAACTGATTAAATGATTAACGATACTGTTATTTTTTAATATGTTGACTTTTTTAAAACCTTATCTTGAACTTTTGGTCAGATTGCATTTGGTGTTTGCACGTTCTGTTCATAAATGTCCGATTGATATTGAGGCATTATATTTCCTGAATACTGCGCCGGTCACATAACAAAATGTATAGGAATATGATAGTCTGGATTACCTGCCATTTTCTCTCCGTTCAATAGTACTAACGGGATCCAAACTTCTCACAGCGGTTACGTTACGCTTTGCTACTTTAACCTGAACTGAACAGGGGAAGTAACCGCTGCGGGAGTTTGAACGGGATCCAGACTGTCAAACTCTAAAATATTCTTTACTTTTTTTCACCAACTTCCGGTTAAGTTGCAGAAACATCGAGGCTGGGAAGACGTAAGCTAACTGTCTTCGATCCCAGATTGATGGTATATAAGATAATCGTATCGAATTATTCAGAGATTAATACATTAACACATACTATTATATTGTCACATATATCGGCATGCATAATGAACATACAAAAAAGCAAATAAAAGTATAATTATAAAACCAAGCAATATGTTTTATGGTACCATAGGATACCCTATGAAGCTTAAAGCTTATTTTCAATGGGGTCCTTTTACTGTAATATTATCACACTAACAATAATAATGAATGAATTATTAAGAAGGTAAAATATATGAAAAGTCTGGCAAACATTGTACAACGATCAGGACACCTTTTTTTTGGTATAAACAGACAAATACATTGTACACAAACAAACTGAAATAAATTTCGTATAAACCCAGCAAACATTTCAAATAGGACCGATGTCGCCCCGATATCATTTGCAATGTAGGCCCGATATCGGCATCCCATGTCGAATCGACGTCGGATGTGCAACCCGGCTCAAAGTCGGGCCGTTCATCTCCTTTTTTTAATAAAAAGAAGTATTCATACCGGTACATGAATAAAACTTTGTCAAGTTTAACTTTAAATACCGCTTCATTTGAAACTACGTTTTAATTTATATATTTTATTCGTTATTACGAACCGTAGCAAGCTTCAAATTACATCCGATTTGAGTCATGGTAAAACGAAGTTAAAATAAAGTCAGTGTAAAATTGCAGCGCATGTGTCGCAATTGTACCTATTTTGTAAGTGTTAAACAATTAAGGTGAACTGAGAAGTGTAAATCAAAGGTTCGGAGTGGAAATAAAATATCTCATTTGATATTTAAAGGAATGCACATGTAAGAAGGTATGTATCGAAAATAAAGTCATAATTGTTCATTAATATTCAAAAGCAATTCGGTTTGAAATAGTTTTGTCCAAAGTTATACGTTTGTCTCAGTGAAGGTTTGAAATACAAGATTTAAGTTATTTGACAAAAACTAAAGACCGATGTTATTATGTTGTATAAACATGTATTGTGGAATATTGACCTCTCTATTAAAACTTCATGATTTGACATAAATAGCGGGCACTTCCTATATAATTCATAACATTTCATGTTTGGAATCATAGGTGTTCGGCGCGTTGATTGGTCACTATCCCCAGGCCCCCCTTACCCACTCTACAACCCTCCTACCTCTCAAAACCATGTAAACTGCAGTATTTTTCAATTGAAACATGTTTTAATATTTGGCATATGCTTTTAATTCAATTACTTTCATTTCCCACTAAAAGTGATATATATATATATAGTAGAGGTAACTACTCGCAGCTCATTTTTTTCAGCACTCATCTTGATATGAACTCCAACCCATTTATTCCAAACGTTTTCAAAACAGTCCTGCTTCAATGTACTCAACACTCGCAGAGTTGAGTTTCCTGACGTAGTTCACTGAAGTTTTCGAACCTGTGACCCCGTAATTGTGATTTCAAATAAGGAAACACTGCAAAGTCTTAGGGCGTACGGAAGTCTCTGAAAACCTATCACATCAAGTTCAATCAAAGTCTCCTGAGATTTATGGCAAGGTGCATTATCTTGATAATATCCATGTTGTCAATTAACGCTGGACGCTTCTTCAACTTAACACAGTATTCAATGACATTGCGTTACATGCCGCATTGTCATCTGACGTCGCCATTTTGGGAAATATTCAAAACAGCACTGCTGTTACATATTATGCTAAAGACTTTTTTCAAATTAACGTTACATAAACGTCTGTTGGTGATATGACGTAATAGTGAATGACGTAATTCCACATGAATGTATTTCCCATAATTATTATTATGCTAGAAGTTAAAGGCATTATTTAAAGAAGCATGCTCTCAACACTGACATATATTCTATCGTGCTCCGGGTATGGTGTACTGTTAAATATAAAACCCTGATAAAAAGGGTTTACCTTATGCCCTGTCCTGTTTTTGTTTGGGGTCCTCCTGGGCTCCTTGCCACTGACGCTTGTTACTGGGTCGGGTGGGGCGCGGCGTTCATTGAACGCGGCCTTTCCTTGTCGATCTTGTTTATCATATTTTTTACTAATATATTAATATATATCATATTTTTTACTAATATATTGACTACTGACTTTAAGTAGGTGAATTAACAAATGACCAAGGAAGATATCTGGTAAATTTATTAAGTTATGACGTCAGGTTGAAGAGAAAATAATGTAGTCTACGACATTTTGGGACAACCCTCGTAAAAATGATAAAATTATTTGTAATAACTGTTCAATCAAAACATCATATAAAACTATAACGAACCGGTTTTCCGAAATGTAAGATTCCAAATCATAATGCAAGTAATGGTTCTGCAGAGTGATCTCCTCTTTAATTTTGTACGGAGTATTTTCATTGGTCTAAGGTTTTCCACACGAACAATGAAAATACTCCATACATATGCATCCGTTTAAACATGTGTACTTTCATTTTGGATGGAGAATTTGACAAATCAGAAAAAAAAACCGGTTCGTTATAGTTTTATATGATGTTTTGCTTGAACAGTTATTACAAATAATAATATAATTTTATCATATCATCATTCCGGGATTCGATAATGCTTCACAACTGTTTAAGTCAGTTCCCTTTGCGTTGTGGATAATGCCAGTTGCTGTAATACTCATATGATGTTGTATTTTTGTTGTGATATCTTAACTATAGTGTAAAGATTGTATACATATATATATGTATACATATTGTGATACATGTATCGATACAATTCAGAAATGCAATTGTTCGAGAACCTCCTTTTTATATGCCCGAAAGAATTTCGGGCATACTACTAGTATTATGTTATACCCCTGGCGTCCGTCCATATGTCTGTATATCCGTCCGGCCGTCCGTCTGTCCATTAGCAATTTGGTTTCCGGAGCATAACTTAATTTCCATTTGGCCCACAATATTCAAACTTCATAGGATTATTGTCCATTTTGGGTAAAATACCCCTATTGATTTTGGGGTCACAATGTCACTATCACCTTAAAACTGAAAACAGTTTGCGGAGCATAACTTAAGTTTAAAACTAACTGTAACAAGACATGTAATAGAAAGAGCACCGAAACACGAGGCTATCTGATTTGTACGAGGGGGCGTAGCCCCCGAGTATAAATCAGATTGCCGAGTGTTTTGGTGCTCTTTCTCTTTTGTATCATAGTCAAACATAAAAGCACGTTCCCTGTATCACAATATGAAACCCCGGCAAAAATGAACCAATGAACGAACATCTGGATATGACATTTCTGTCGCTTTCCCTTTCTCTGCCGTCACAATATGTAAACCCCAGCAAAAATGAGCCAATCAATGGGCATGCTCTGGAGTGCGGGTAACTAATACCCGCACTCCAGTTAACGCACTGTGCATGTACATGTATACGATTTAACCCTGACACATTTTCAACAGAAAGGTCTCCAAACTATGATACAAGTAATAGAAAGAGCACAGAAACACGAGGCTATCTGATTTGTACGAGGGGGCGTAGCCCCCGAGTATTAATCAGATTGCCGAGTGTTTTGGTGTTCTTTCTCTTTTGTATCATAGTCAAACATAAAAGCACGTTCCCTGTTGTCACAATATGAAACCCCGGCAAAAATGAACCAATGAACGAACATCTGAATATGACATTTCTGTCGCTTTCCCTTTCTCTGCCGTCACATTATGTAAACCCCAGCAAAAATGAGCCAATCAATGGGCATGCTCTGGAGTGCGGGTAACTAATACCCGCACTCCAGTTAACGCACTGTGCATGTATATGTATACGATTTAACCCTGACACATTTTCAACAGAAAGGTCTCCGAACTATGATACAAATAACATTTACCCATTTTTTACATATATCTCACTATCTAAGCAACTTTAAAAAATTAAAGAACCCGAAAAAATAGCCCTTGAAGAGAAATGATTTATCATAAAGGTATATAACATATATGACTTCTATACAATATTGATTCACTATAATTGTACAATTGCCGAATCGTCAAAGAAGCAAATGATGACTCAGCTATGTTGCCAATTTGTATCTTTTTAAAAACTATAAGAGGAATTAAAAACAAACAACATAAAAATGATTTTTTTGACATAAATAAAAAGCATTTTTAGACAGAATGGACATAATTGAAGAATAGATATTTTTTGTATTTGGAATGCACAATACAGTTCACTTCCCTCGTACCTTTAGAATCAATAGATATATTATGAATAATTTGCACTGGTAGACTAATGGATTGTATGCAGTGCCATATTTGAATGCTCTAAACCATAAAAGAAAAATATTACCAAAATGTGCACAAAAGCGATGAAATTGTTATCACTTTTTAAAGATAAATCAAATTGTTTTTGTTATTTTATGGTTTTTAATGCGTTTTAAACTCTTTCTTAATCATAAATATGTGTTACCAATTTAATTAACTTACAATTATATGAAAAACATCGACAAACACATTGCATTAAATAATTGTAAAGTCTAGTTCATTTACAGCTGTATGTTTATTTTGAGAAATGCACAAATTATCGTTGAAAACTTATTAACTTTAAGTAAAGTAAATTTTAAGGAAGTAAACGCGTTAAGATGGTAACATTGAAAAACGTATTTGTGTTTATGTCGTTTCGCTTCAGTTATTTAGTTTTGTTTGATAAAGTGTTGACCTCGTAAGTGCATTTTTGTGTGTCAAATTTTGTTACAGGCTGTAAAGTCACTTTTTAATACATTTTTTTTTGTACATTTTGTATAACAACTGCAACAGGGGGGAAATTACAAATAAGCTTTTTACGGGTTACTAGAAGTAATAAGTTAGATCAAGTTAGTTTAGTTCATACAAATTGATTTTAGTTAGATTGTGCTGGATGCTATAAGCGTATAAAACGCTCTCGAAATCGTTCATAGAACCATCCAGTTTTAAGCAACTAAAGTTTCTTGCCCAAGGGAACAACGGCTTGCCCCTGACTGTCCGAACCCACACGGGCAGCAATCCTTAGCTTACTAGTCCGACGAGTTGATCACTCGGGCACTTTTGGTTAAAGTTGATAACGTTCTTATACAACGTGTTTTTTGACATACACAAAGACATTCATACAGACATAAAAAACAAATTTAGTGTCTATAAATTTCTGGTTTGATATAGAAAGTTTACCATAAGTTTGTAAACATCTACGTTTATTTACAATTATATAGTCTAGTTGTAAACAGACAGTAGGCTATTACATGATTGCGCGAGTGATTAAATTCAAGTGGCTAACTATATTATTTATGGATACAAATATATATATGCATAGAAAAATACCGGATCCACTTGAGATACGTAATTAAAGGGCCTGTTATCAAGTACTTTTATTTTTATCTGTCACGGATTTTACTTGGCAGGATCCTGCAAGAATACTAGCGAAATTCACGCGGGTCAAATGCATATTGCATACAAATAACAATACACATTTTATACATTTAATGAAAGATATACAAAATTAAAACAAACAGACAAAAAAGCTTCCTTCTTGGTCATAAAGAAGGGGCAAAAAGACCTTTGACGCTGAGAATCACGTCTTCTTTAACTCCACATGTCTATCTTTCCTTTACCTTACTACGATTTTTTGGAGCAACTGTTTGAATTTGAAAGTAGATTTGTGTAATGGACTCAATAAGCGGATCTTTATCCTTTATAATCTTTTCTTCCTAATAGTCTTTTTTTCAGACATTGTTAATAAGCTATTACACCCCGTCTGATTCTCGTTTCATCCACACAACTGCGCCAACTATCTTGCAGTCTGTGATCAAAATCACGAAATTTCCTTGGAAGTTCTAGTATAACACCAACGCTCGCAACCATCAGCACTTGGAACGATCCCTCTAAATTAATTAACTCATGCGATGTTTCTAGGTGTCACGTGCATTCCAATGCAGGGCCATTGCGTAACGTTGGTGTTGACGTCTCAATGTTTGTTAACTAAATTCCTTTTTCGGTTATCAGTTTGCTTACTTTCTAATAAAATGAAAATATCATACACATGTCACAAATCATGAATAAACGTCAAATGAAATTCAAATAACGTAATATTTAAATAAAAGTAAAGACGTGCTCATCGTGAGATCGTTAAATGTTATAAAAGTTCTTTCCTTAAGGAAAACACCTCCACAATGTCAATATTTTGACTGAATCTACACAAAAAGGTACAATGGAACGTTTCTTCTCGAAACTTTTGAACAGCCCTCGTTCGCACATATAAACATAGTGATTAAACGCAAGATTGTCTTCTAACATCGTTATTTTTATGTGATTTTATTTCCTTCAGACTGTTTAAGATGTCTGTACCAATCCTTGTTCGTGTTCTGTTTGCAGGTATGTAACGTTTTCTATTTCTTTTGAATCAATTTTAAAAGTTCTTTCTAGGTTGTGTAGATTAATTCAATAGATGTTTCCACAGGATACCCTGATTCGTTACCATAAACATTTTTTCAGTACAAGTTTGATACACTAAATCTAATATATTGAACTTTTTATGTAAAGCTAATGTAATTACATTCTTTCAAATGTACATCTTATGTTACTCCGGAGCAAAAAGATACTTGTGTGTGTGTGTGTTGACTGTAGGGTCGAATTAAGGACACCCCGCAAGGCAATTCGATATAAACAGATATAATTGTTGTATCAGTTAAATATGTTAAAACTATTTTATGTTAAGATTAGTGTATTTCTTACACATAGCGTTTCTTGTCATTTTAGGTAAGATTTATATATATATTAAGAAGATATTATCTAATATCATTTTTATGTTTTCAATATCTAAATGAGTCATGAAAACCGAATTGCACCTAAAAGGCACATTCAGAAACAAATACTTTTTTAATTCTTCAGAAAGGGCAAACATATATTTTATAACATGTATAATGTTTAAATAATGGTTTTATAGAATGTTAGATGATAATTAACTACAAAAAGTATCAATAAATGTGAAATAATGTGCCATAAAAGTAGCGAAATGTAAACAAAGTAGTACATGTACTTTGACTCTCATACAAAATACTTATGCACTATAACTTTATACGTATTGCTAAAGAGCAACGGATGAAAAAGATGGTGCAGAAATTGGTCAATGACTAACATTTTGGATATAATAAAGTACAATAAAATTACAAAGTTTTTAAGAAATAAAATCAAAATATTTTCAGATGCAAAATAGGCCTTTAAATAATCGTACACGTTTGCTTATCTGAGGTTCAATTATATTGCTCCAACAATGTGTGAACTTATATTACACATATGAAACAATCGCATCTTAATTAATATTCAAAGTTTGACTATGTGTATAGAGTGCCTTTATATGATAACTTGAGCCTCATATTTTACAATATTTTCATTTGATAGCAAATATAAGAAATTCTCATTATCAATCTGTCATTAGTTTTGCATATGTCGATATAAAGCGTCTCTCTTATTTACGAATGAATTGGACATTTAACAAGGACATTGCAGCTCTTCTTTAGTGGTTTAATCAAAATATACGGTCACCGTGTTTCTACTCAGATGCCCGTTTGTGCCGGAAATAATGCAAGGATCGGGTGGCACCTGAGGTCTTCCTCCACCAGTAAAGCTGGAGCGTATACTGTATCGGTATGACGTAAAAACTAAAGAAACAAACAAACAAGATATATTTTATCATATAAATGCTCATTTTCAAAGAAAGCATGCCAATAAATTTGATAAAACTTATTTAAGAATATAACAGGCTTTCCAAGCTATTCCAGTGATACAAACAAACTTTTAAAGCTAAAGCTTTGAAAAATAAGCCCTACAGATTGACTTATCTATTGTGACCAGTAGTGCACCGTCAACTAAAAGTTAATATTTAAAAGCTTGTCACGGGGCGGGGTGATGGGTAAGCTTTGAAAAACATACACTTGCCGAGCTCCGGATAAAATCTTGTGTAGACCAATCCACATTTAGTAACATGTCTCTGTATTTCGTATTTATCATTGCAGAACAGAATAGTTCATTTAGGTAGGATGATCGATTACATTTATTCACCACAAATTAATACCAGAAGCGTTTGACTCCCTTTAAATGATACTGTATTTATAATTTTAGTGTTTGCTGTTATTCAACCGACAACAGGACAGAACACACCAACCTGGAACACAGGAACAACATTCACTAAGACGTCTTCAGATTGTCCAGAAATTACTGACTTGTCTGCAACGTCACAGTCTGGCGACACTGTTGTATACTCGTTAGTTTTTATTCTGTTGAAGATTGTTAACAGCTTAACCGGTTCTTGGGTGCGAGGGCGATGTTATATCTTTTGCTATCTCTCACAGACATACTCTGTTTAACCGAGTCTGCAATCTTCACCTTTTGTAAGGGGCGTCCGTGGCCGAGTGGTTAAGGTCATTGACTTCAAGCCACTTGCCCCTCACCACTGTGGGTTCGAATCCCGACAGAAAATTTGGATTCTTTCATGTGAGGAAGCTATCCAGCTAGCCTAAAGAACATCGGTGGTTCTATTCAGGTACCCGTTCGTGCCTTAAATTATGCACGGAAGGCACCTGAGGTCTTCTTCAACCAATAAAGCTAGAAATTTGCGATATGACCTATAGTGTGTCGATGTGACGTAAATTACAAACAAATTCACATTTTGTACTCATGTTCACATTACTCTTGAGATATTTCTCTATTTACAGTTTTTTTAATCAAAATATGAGGCTTACACTTTCTATTTGTTAATGGCAAATAATGCAATAGCTGTATGATTTACTTATATTGTTAAATGTACATGATGCATATATAAGCTGCGACCCATATTTCATATTGGTGATTTATTAAGTGAATGTATAGTGTTTCCTTCTTCCTTTTTATCATTATAACTTTGCACATCCAATTATGAATAAGGCAATTAGTGATAAGTCAATAACATTTAACTTAATGCTCATTACCAATTTAATTAAATGTTAATACACGGCTACTGTATCCCGATTGTTTTATTAAACCGGCCACTATATGGAAACGAAAGTCCTTTAAGTTTTACGAAACAAGCGGAAACACTCCTTTTAACAATGTAAATATCGCTGAGGATGGATAAAACATGATATTGAACAATGTTTACCATTAAAACTTTAAAATTGATTGAATAACAAAGTATATTTATGTAAACCAGTATGCCACGGCACTTTTGTTTGGTTGGTTGTTCGACTTTTTTAATTCTTTTCTTCATTTTTGTCGTTTAAATAATGGAACGACTATGTGTAATTATATTTTCCTTTTTGTTATATTACCTTTACAGTGTAGAGTCTCAAACCCCGAATGCCGGATTTACTATCGGAGTGAACTTTGCTTCTGATCCAATTCTTACGTGTGTGGCTAGTTCCGTATCCCAATCCTCGTATGTTGTAGTTGTAAGGTATGTAATGTTTACAAAATTATTTAATTACACCAATTCGCGAAATCTCTATAAAATTGAACTGAAATTTAGCAAATATAGAGAAAATTCGATCCTTGCGAAAAAACCTGATACACGGTGTATGTATGTTTCTAAAACTTGTATTTTCTTAACGCATACATAGAAAGACATTCTCTCTATTTCAACCCTTAATATCTTTAGAACGTTCGATTCTGGTTCTTTGTACATGATTTTGGCATTTTATACACAGAATCAAATCACACTATTACAAAATAACGGTCTGGGAAATACGAGATAAAAATATTTAACACGACGTTTATTCAGTACTTTGTATAACCGAGACAAACCTTTTCGAAAGGACAAGAACATTTTTGTGACACTTTTCAGCTATCAATATTGAATGTTTATACATTGCATATTTTACAGAGCAAAGTATCAGTCAGATCCGGGCGATTCAGATTTAACCATTACTATCACATTTACAGATCAATCACACGGTAAAACATTTTAAAAATACCTTATTCTTCAAAAATTCGTTTTAAGAATGGCTGTTTTATGTTTGAGATATGTCATAGACAAATATCTTTCTAAAGTTAGTAACTGTTCCAAATATTATACTATGAATCAGATTTATGTGTACTTTTCCATCTGTGATATTTTTCCTTTCCACAATAGTCGCACAAAGTAAGTTTCTTAAAATAATTTCAATGGGAAAATTTCTTAGTGGTTAGTGGTTAAGGTGTCTGCCTCTCAACTCAGTTATCATGGGCTCGAATCCTAATCGGATCACGACCATGTTTTTCATATGACACCAATACTGGTTGAATGAATATGTTATAACCAATCTTTCAAACTTGTGACCAATATAACGGTTCAAAAAAGCTCTGATACCAACGTTTGTAATATACTTATATACCTTCTGAGATGAGTGTATTAAATGAGTGTGTTGCTAATAATTATACAATTGCGTTTGTTGCTTAATAGAGAATAACATGCTACTGTCTTTTGATATCAATTTTATCAGGCTCGGCTGATATGGGCTAGAAAGGGCTTGTCGAGCCCTTTCTGCCCATATCAGTTGAGCCTGATAAAATTGATATCATAAGACAGTTGCATGTTTTTCTATTTATCATGTAACACATAAAACTGTCAAAATAACAAAATAGTCAACTTTAAATAGCAAAAATTTCGTAAAAAAGGGTATTTTTGTTCAAAGAAATAATTCTTGAAAACAAATTCATCCGCCCCTGAAAGAATTTGTAAATGGCGGCCACTTTTCTTTCGCCTCGGATAAAATTAAAAGAAACAACAGAATGTAGGCCTAACACGATAAAAATAATTACCTTTAATTTAAACATCGATTCAAAAAATCCCTTAGAATCACATAAACTTTACTGCACTTTTTGTCTTGAATTGTCAAATTATTTCAATATTTAACACAAGTCAAATCGGCAATCAAACACAAGCTACACAAACATGCGTCATGCGTGGACGGTAACTTGCACTTTCCAATACCGTCCATGAACAGGCTCAATCAAACCGAGCCTGCAACATTTTCAATTTTGCCGTGTTGGGCTTTCTTTAGGGATTCTGTATTTATCTATTTATTTTTTAAACGAAACAATTTGTTCACTTATTTAATAATAATCTGGCAAAATAAAGTAAACATTTACAAGTTCTCAAAGAAAATCGTCTAGCCTGTTTGGTATGATTACATGTATAGTATGACCTGAACATTGATGATGTCATTTGCAATATAAATTATGACGTCACTTCATTTAGTTCGTGTTAAAACTATTCGCTATCTAATTTAGTCGTAATTGAAATTGAAACAATAAATAAATAAATATCGCATCTTGATTCAAGGCTTGTATGGGTATGAGATTACATTGTAGAATTTACATGCTGATGAAAATGAGAATATAAGCAATTGAAAAAAAGTCCGTTAAAAATGGGCTGGGCTTATTTTTGATATCAGGTTACTGACCTGATATCAAAAATAATTATCAGGCAAATGTTATCGGGCATTTACCATAGCAGTTGCATGAAAAATTTAGATATTTTGTGTTTGTTTGGTTATTATTAAGATGTTTGTGTTTGTTACTTACTATTTTACATATTTGAGTTTGTTTCTTATAAGATATTTTTAAGTTTTTGTTGTTGTTGTTAATATATTATTAATACATTTGAGTTTGTTTTAATAATATACTTATGCTTGGTTTTGCTTATTATGAGATATGTGTTTGATACCTTTAATAAGATAATTTGTGTTTGTTGCTGAATATATTTGAGTTTATTTTTTATAAGATATCTGCAGTTGTTGCTTATTATGAGATGTTTGTCTTTTTTACTTTTTATAAGTCATTTGTGTTTGTAACTTATAACGAGATATTTGTGTTTTGATTTTTTTATTATTGAAAATTAGCAACAGGACCGATATGGAACACTGGTACCTCGCATACATTCGATAAAGCGGTCACAACCTTGTCAGCAACTTCGACAGACAGTTCGACCGTTACAAACAGGTACCTACGGACAATATCATACTAGTATATTTTAATGAATTAACATTGTATTTTATCTTGACAAAAGGTTGTCATATTCATTTTTTTTTAATAATTAGCTACATTGTACAACACTTAGGTGGATACTGGTTTTGTTTTCATCAAAATGTCATTTTAAAGTATTAAAAATACTTAATATTTAAGGTATAAAAAGTCGCCCAAGAATATGAATTATGTGTTTACATCTTTTAAACAGTATCATATACCTTGAACATGCTGCATTTATGCAACTGTAATAGGGTTTCACTGTTTCATGTAAGATTTGGAGCAATCTGTCGGAAACATTAAAGGATTTCAATATCAAACACATAAAGATATGAGCAAATGAAAGGCTCCAATGAGCTGACAAGGGCCAATCAATTACATTACCGACGGTGTAGCGAACATGTTATTATAAAAAAATGGTGAAGAACTGTATATTGCCGGTTTTTTTTTTCTCAAAATAATGAAACGGAAAACTGCACAAATTGTATGTAATCATCATGCTTTTATTTCCAAAAAGAAGTAGTCGGAATGCAATTTTTAGACTGCAGGTAGCAGGATATACAGACGAGTATAAATTACAGAAATAGCATTTAACCCAACATAAACTTATTCAGTCTAATGTTCTAAGTCAGTTATAACTACATGATGGAATGATATTGTGGTTTCCTGAGAATAATATGTCAGTTCATACAAAAATGTTTAAGTGTTAAATTGTATCCAATATACATGTACATGTACTTATTGAATTAAAGAAACACGCATCAAGGATCACGCATGTAAAACTGTTGGGCAGAAAAAAGAAGTCAAGAGGCCATTATACATTGTTAAGAACAATACTGATTCAACTTACCCATTGTGTTATATATAGTTACTTTATAAAAATGTATTTACACATTTCGTTTTTACTTTACAGGGCCAATAATAATGTTTCGACAGATATAACATTGACTATCACTGTAACAGGCCTTAGCGGTAAGTAGAATTTAAAAATAATTATGAACTTTGTAATATATAGGAACCAACTGTTTTTGATGCAATGTTGTAAATGGAATTATACGGTAAGAGTGAGTTAGTTCTTGATGGTGGTGCTTTGGAAACAACAACTGTATATATATATATACTCGATTCCTTGTGTGACTCTCATGTATAAAAATGTAAGTTTTGGGAAATACAGATTCTTAAGTTCGTTAAATTTCCCAAAACCTGCTTATATGTATGAACACTTAAATGCGGTTATTTAATAAGATGCACTATTGATGTCATTATGTTACAGCTTTCGTTTTGATAATAACATGAACTACTTCATGTGTTTTCTGGCGTATATATTCTCGGTTGAGAGTGTTAGTCATTTATCATTTACACTACCATTTTATGTATAAAATATTGCATTTTTATAAAGCAGCGCTTACGCTATTAATTACGAATTTCCAAATATCGAGATAATCATAATTAGCAACTTTATTTGCAATAATAAATGTTTAATCGCCACAAACGATTTTATGTTTTTTACTGCGTTTAGTGGTGTATTTGAATTATGAGTTAATTATAGTGAAAGTGACAGATACAGACTGTATAAAAGATACTGCAAACCAGTGTAAAGATATCCCAAATGCAGAATGTGACAATGCTGCAACTGGTGCTAAATGTAAATGCTCCGATGGTTATGCAGCAGATAGAAATACTGGCACTTCCTGTGTGAAAAGTAAGTAAAATTTAAAATCCTAACTTGTTTAAACACCTATGCTCTTTTGCAATTTCATCACCAATTAATAAAGTTAGTTTCATTATCAGAAATGAACAACTATTACATTTTACATATTGCATGTACATGATTTACAAGTAATAAATGTAATCATAGTAATATTCTGAAGGTGAACCATCTGCTTATGAGACTTTTAAAAAGCCATTTTTCAAGATCTTACATTACGTATTTAAAGCTGTTAGCGGCACAACTTGTACAGCGGGTGGAAAAGAATGTGAAAGCATTAAAAACTCACAGTGTGTGTCCACAAAGTGCCAATGCAACGATGGCTTTGAAATGAATGTTGATGTTTGTGCGGCAGTAAGTTCAGGTAAAGATAATGTTTGTAAATATATGATTGTGTATATGTGGAAAAGGACGACATGATTGTCAAATATCATATATCAGATTCTTTCGCGAGTTTCTTATTTTTGCTATATTTGAGTACACTAAATATCGTGAAAAATAGACCGGCCTATGTTTAGTATAATTCTACAAATAAAGTTGACTAGTTTCTGTGACTTGGCGTCTTTGGTTCGTTTTTTCTACCCTGCAAAGACTTAAATATATCTTGGTGTCTAGGTGTAAAATACCAAATTATATTTTAGTACCATACAATGTATTTGTATTTTTAGATATCTTAAAGTCAAATGCTTGTTTAATGTACTATACAGATTAAGTGACAAGTAAGCGAAGACAGATTATGGTATTGCTTGTGTTATTGATTAAACACACACACACACACGCACGCGCACGCGCACACACACACACACAACTTATTATAGAAAATAACAACTACAGGTTAAACCTTCTTGTTGGTACAGGGTGTATCAAAGTATCGTTGAATATTGGAGCATATTATTCAAAGTCCCTTTACTAATTACTAATAGAAATAATGTGTAAAAACAAGTCAAATACAAACAAAATAACTTCGGTCGGTGATAAGGCGTGCGATTTAGATGGTCACTGCCAAAATCGCAAAATTTCCTGACGAAAGATAGCCTGATATACGTTGAACAAAATGAAATGACGAATGATTTATATTGTCAAGAAAAAAAAAGAAACATAAAAAGTAAAGGAAAAGGAAAAATCACGCGGAGAAATGGTTTACAGTATATCAAAACAATGTCATCATCGTAAAATCCAAACATGTAGCCTGTAAGCTTTTCGTCATGATAAGATTCTTCATATTTGATACGGAAAAGTTTCTATTTGGCTTTAAAAATATTCCTCGTTATTCCGGCAAAAAAAAGCCTTCACTTTTATCCAAAATATCAACAGGTTTATCAAGTTAAGTTGTTTATGGTTGTTAAAAAGTATTTAATGATGTTTGTTTCTAGCTCTTTCTTTTCATCAATTATAACAATTATAAGGTACAAGTCATACGGTGTTTAAGTTAAGATCATAAGAAATTGTTTACATACAAAACTTAATGATATTTAATGTTTTTGTTACAGCTATATCTCTTCACTTTGGCAGTTTGACGTTGTTCTTCTTTGTTTCAACTATGGTTCGACACTTATTCTGGTAAATAATTGCACGGTATTCTTGATACATCTTTTCATTATACATGTATATAAAATACCGATATAATACATAATTTATCCTCATCATTTCCGTGTTTATAAAATAAATATCTTATTATTGAATATCTATTTTGAGTCGATTATCGTTTCCATTAAAGAATATAAACTGTTTAAATATCTGATGAAAATATCACTGTAGATTGTAAAAAAGTGCAAGGTACCGAAACATGTGCAGTTATCTTTTTCAGATTGTGAGTCATTAACAGTTATGATATCTATAATTGGTGATTTTTTTTCTTTCAACCTTGTGTATCGTATGTACGTCTTTAGATTTTTGAAGTGTGTGATGTATAATTAAATTGATTCATCGTTGATCAAGAGAAGAACTTTCTTTTTTATTCCTAAAGATTGTTAACCTGACATTTTACGTTTAAAGTGACATTATGCTTATTTAAATGCAATGCAAATTGACAGTGAATATGAAGTATTAGTCAGTCATTATGATTAAAGATATTCTTTTGAATTATATAATATATTTGTTATTATTAAATATACTAATTCAACTCAAATTGACAGCGAACAAAAATGCATTATGTTACTTTAATGCTCTTATATTAAAAAAAACAAAACTTGTTTTGTGTTTCTATATCTATAAAATGAAATATACATGTATATATCAACTGTCTTATTATTGTTATATTTTCTGGTCCTTCGGGATCATTGATGCCAACACTATAGTGTTGAGAATTGAGTACCGCTCAAGCCGGTGATAGGGGGCGTGAGGGATGATGCACTTATTCATTATCCCTCATGTACAGACTCAATCAAACCGAGTCTGCAATTCTTATGTTATTTTGTTGTGATTAATGCTTCCGAGGGATCACTTTGTTTCCAGAATTTTTTAACATTCTTTCTTGCTTGTAACATTGAATTAAACTTTATAAAGCTTTATGTTAAAACGACATTGACATAGATATTTATTGTGACCCCACTGTAAAGTTTAGTATGTTATTTAGTATTAAATTGCTTGCCATCAATTTTTAATTGTTGATGAAACAGACTCAAATAGCAATTTTGACATACATTTATATTGTTACAGTAATTTTGTTTCAGATTATTATATGTTGAATAATTTTTAATAACATTTAATGCATCGAAATTGAACAAATTTGTTAACTGAACTTACAATGCTATTATTTCCTTATCATGGACATTTTTTAACGATAAGCAATTGTTGGCTGACGAGCGTTAAATAATTATTTGTACATATTACTATAATGATCAAAAATTTGATTTGATTAAATTATTCAGAAAATTTGCAAGTACAATAATAAATAGCAAAGATAAGTTTATTACATACATAAGGCTTTACCATCTCAAACACGATAATATGTTAATATAAATGTATGAAACATACATTGTCCACTTAATAAAATGTTGTTACTGAAAGCATCGAGGTTTTATGTTTTCCCTGTATGTACTATTGTCTTATTTTTAATTCATTAATTCAACCTATCATACAATATCGCTGAGAGTACTAACAATGCATGCCTTACAATTTGTGTTTAAATGGTAGCACGGTGAAATTATAATCAAAATGAGTTATTATCATAAGTGGCGACATGGCCGAATCTAATGATCATAAGCCACAAGAGTTCTAACCTAGTGAGAAACAAGTCGTTATGTCCTTGAACAAGAAACTTTACACTCATTGTTCAGTACAAGTCGGTTCCAGGAACTGATTCGAAAGTGTGTCTATAAGATTATAGCTTCCTACACAATGGAACTAAAATAAAACCTGCATAAAGAAACATGTATATTTTAAGGTCATGATCACTGGTCGGTTCCAGGAACTGATTCGAAAGTGTGTCTATAATTATATGATTATAGCTTCCTACACAATGGAACTAAAATAAATTCTGCATAAAGAAACATGTATATTTTAAGGTCATGATCACACTTGAATTATTCATCGGGTCTTTTGTCAAGTGTCACATGTTAAAACAGCCATAAAATATCCACATTCACTTGTTATCGACTGGAAATATTTGTGTCTACTTATATCAATAGCGACTTCGTCCGTAGGACCTTTAACCACTCACAAGCAAATAGTATACATGAGCTTGCTATATATTAAATTTGAATTAGCTATTTTCAGTATCAATGGCATTGACCTACTGGTAGACCTAAAAAAGCAGAAGTTAATTGTTCGCATTTGAAAAAAGGGAAGATTATTAGGACTTCGTATGCATGCAAACTTAAAATATGATTATTTATATTGTGTAAAGGCCGGGATTATTACTACTTCGGTTTCGAACAATAAAGCCTATAATAAACAAACAGTGAAAACAACAACCAAATGAAGCACACATATGGACAGAGACATGTACTATTAGTACTATGGTTAAACAGTGCTACTAACCGTAGTAATATAGATTACGTTTTATTTACATTGTGCCTGTCAATTTATTTCCGATATTTCCCCGCAATCGCAATATATTATATGCTTTAGAAGAAAATATTTTCATTAATTCTGTTACCCCCTGACAACGGTACTAAATCTTAGTCTATTAGTTTATCGGCTATTTGGAGTTTTGAGTTTTGATGCGTATGAATTGACCACGAAGGCCGTTGGACTGAGTGGTTAATTTCTTCGCATCAAAACGACAAAGACTGTGTTAAATAGCCGATGAATACCGTTAAGACCGATTTTTGTTTTTATTCTAATACGATAGAATAAGGAAGATCACTAATGTTATTTTTTTTCAAGCGGAAATAACTTCCGGTGCCGATTTTTGTATAACGCTGTTCGATTTTCGCACCCTACTGTTGCTAAGATATAGAAATTATTAAAGAAAAAAATGATAAGAAAAACGTTATTTTATCAAGTTTTCAACAATAAAAACTTACATCTTAGAATTGATTGTATTGTGTTTACATCAGTGCCCCATTTATCATTCTTGTATGTATGAAATAGCGTCAACGTTTATATTACGCTGCTTACGGATAGTCGCCGTTTTGTCAAAATATTTATTAACTGATATGGATCAAATATGTGGCGTTAGTGTATGTGAGATATCATTTCGGTAAAGTTTGAAAAGAAAACTTTATGAGAATTGAACATATAAATGAAAATGCTTTTTATTGTTGCTTTAAAAGGCTTTGTTAGACTATATAATCGAGGGTGAAAACATAACATTTATTGTCAATTTAACGTCGGTTGTTTTCTTCTTTGTCTATTGTGACAAAATCACATGGAGTGTTAGAATGAAAATTAAAAACATAAAAACCTTCTGTTCAACATGACAGAGACGAGCAGTGAATGATAATAATCATCATATTCGTTTGAAAGTGCATTGCCGTGCATACCGTTAGACGTTGTCAGAAGCCCCATTAAATTGATATGAACGATAAAGTATGAAACACTATGTATATCACGTGACGCGATAATGTGGAAATAATGCCAGAATTGTGTAGAAGTAAGGCAGAATAATATAATAGTTCTATGGCCGAAAAGAGAACCGCTGAAAGTAAGCGAGCCAATAATATGTTTAATTGTATATCAAACTGAAAGAATCATAATCATTTATAAAAATGACGGTCTGACTTTTAATAATGTTTCGTCGAAATATATTTAAATACGATAACGTACACATTATATTATGCATTTTCTTATTTGGTGTAGCTGATGTATTTGCCAAACTACTCGTCTCATATTACACTTCAGTTAGTAGATTTAATTTGACTGAAACCATATTTACGAGCTTACGCCGAATTCGTGGATGATCCACCTTAGCAACGCTGATTATCCCATGCAATTTATCTGATTCTTTAAATGTTTAACTGAATATGAAGAAAAACAATGTTTTCAATTCCTTCATGTACTTTGACCAAGACGAATAATTTAGAACGAATTGCAATGATGGTTAAAGTACATTGAATAACCAATCGTGATTTAGAATTAAATATTTCGGTCCGTTTAATAACCATGTAACTCGTTTTGGCCATCAAGTTGCACAAATTCATCGTTTATTTTGGGTTATTTGCACATTCCTGCGTTGCTGGATATACACGGTGCAAATGCAACTGGATATTATCATTTGAATAATTTGTAAGAAAAAAGTATTCACATTCACACTGTTGATTAGATTTTTGCATTTTATATATTTTTTTGAATGATCATTGCATTGCAAAATTGATCTCGTACAATTAATCATGTTGATCTTTTTAATACGTTTATACAGGAAAAGTGATATCAAAGCTCTAGGGGGTGAAATCAAGGCTGGCAATTTCAACGGATTGCTTAATACTGTCTCAAAATAAATCTGGCCATGTCACATTTAACAGATTGATCAAATTAAGAAAAAAGAGATGATTTCAAATCTGTTACCCTGTCACATGACATCAGATATCGAAAGGAAATTGAGATAAACAATATAACATAAGTAAGCTTTTCGATCGTGTGACTTGTTTTCATGACTTCATATAACAGTCAGTCCATGATTCCCGGTTAGTTTTAGCCTTAATAATATAAATCTTATGTACGAATTTCAGAAGAATTTTTATTAAATGTGATTGAATCGCAAAAAGAACATTCAAAATGTAGCTATGAAATTATCAAAGATCTGAAAAGGACAACGATAGGATAATAGACCAATAAACAGAACCGTAGTTTTGATTTGTTTAAAACAGCTAAAACAAATGATTACAAATCTTCAATGACTGTTTGCATTTAAAACATGTTTACATATCATCATAGTGATGATACGATGTAAATCTAAATATATCACTCACAAACGCTTGTCTCAAAGTCCAAATCTTTCAATTTAAGCTATAAAATGATTAAAATTACATTTTGCACATTTTAATCTTAGAGACGATCTTCAATAAATTGTATTAATTATTGTGCTGTCGGTATTAACATTAGTTATAGGAATTCTTCAAAGACTTTCAAATCGAACTTATAAACATTTTATAGCTACACTGAATATATGGAATAAAAAGGCATTCGCGTAGGTCTTAATCAAAACTAATCAAAACAATTAATTTCATTTAAGTGGTTTATCGGGCTTGATTTAAACGATTAAACATTAACTTATTTAAATATAAGAAGCTCTTAATATGCAGTTGCTACGGAATACCTCTTTTCCGATAGAAGAAAATTAAGTTATCTATAACTTTAAGGATTATTTTTTGAAAAATGTTGATGACATGTACTTTGTAACCCTCTGCGAGATAAAGCATTGAACATGTTTATGATACTAGTATGTATTTATAGAATCAAAAAATCGCCAAAGACTTATCTTTAACATTTGCTAATTTAACAATTTAAAAATTACTTTTATAAAATTTGAAAAAAAAATTGAAATCACCAAGGAAAACAAGGTTTCCTAAATGAAACTTAACATTGTCCAATAGCAAAAGAATCAAATGGGCATCATAGGGGAGGGGGCAGTTAAACTGGGAGAAGAAAAGGTCAATTATTAACTAAAATGGAGTGAAGGTTTGATTATAAGCATAGGTATTTATAGGGAAAAAAGAATGTATTCTTATGATGTTTGCTCTTTTTTAACTTTTGTTTTATGACACGGTGACCGTGAAATATGTAAAATGAGAACAACATTTTAGTTATTAATCTGAAGTCTTGATTGAATAATTTAATAAAAGACTATCAAAATTTTGCAACAGATACACTGTCCGGTAAAATTAGATTTAGCCTTTCGCAAAAATTAATATTGTAGTAAAAAATACTTTTATAGCAACAATGATTACTTTTAACATGTATATACAATTTTGAATATGTACTTACTTTTACAGTTCATTTAGTCATTAAATGTTCAATTTTAATGTGCATGCAATCCATCCACAGGTTGCCATTCTGATCTCACTTTATCAGTGATTATAAGCATGATTATAGTTTTTGGATTTCAGTGAATAGGGGTTTGTTTGACATTAGATTAAAGCACATTTAAGCCTAGATAAATGAACAACCTTTGGGATGAACACAATAGCATTACGTATAGGTCGTATTAATATTTTTCTGGACTGATTCGAAAATGACAACGTTTTCTCTATTATCTAAATTTTAACGATCAAACAAAAGTGTGGCATGATTTAATGTATGGTAAGATGGAGTTTCTCGAAAGAATGTTATTCGTTGTTCTACGTAACGATTACATTTAATAAAGAAATGATTGACATTTTCAAGCACAATATCATCTTGACCAAAAGAATCTTCAAGCAAATTGTTCTTATATCAATCATTATCTATTTACTTCAATTATGTCTTTATAGTGTATGCAATATAGATAGGTATATATGGACATGGAGAAAAAACAATTGGTTCTTGAAGTCTAGATTTAAACATGTTGAGTGTTGAAGAGTTTCGTACATCGGAGTCAAGGGTATTCCATAATTCTAAGGTGGTTGGTAAAAACGATGTATTGTATTATTGAATTGCCTTACTGGTATCTGTGTAACATTAGAAACCGTTAATAGGTTCATTTTGAAACAAAACAATTCTCATTTCCCTTTTGAGATGACTTGATAGTGTTGTGTGGACGTATTTCTGCCTTCCAAAAAGACTTTAACAGAGAGCTAGCCGCTTTCTATATTTTGTTGATAAGGTATCAACGGCATCTGACCCGTCACCAAGTCTAACCAATATAAAAAGCACAATTATAAATTAGCTTCCATCCCACTATTAATTGACTCGATTGGTGCGTATCTGTCCAGTCACAGTATTAAACGACAACTGGTATGGACGTTATGAAATGACCGTGTCCTAACGATGTTCCATAATGATTATTACAAATACAGTCAAGGCAAATTGAAGAGACCAACTTTGGGAATGAAGAAAAATGTCACATATATCAAGGAGTCTCTTAAAGTGTTCTCCAACCAGCCGTAAACCATTTGTTTATGAATATACATTTATTATAGCTAAGTACACACTTATTCCAATGAAACATGGACATGATATGTAGACCCCTTTTTAAGATGAGACAGATAATTGATTATATCTTATTTCTTAAATTGCATTTAAAAACAGTATAGTAAAATGTAGAACATTTGCGTAGGTCATGTAAGGGTTCTTTGATTCAGATAGTACAATATTATCAGTTGGCGCTTCATCACTTTTACTGGCAACCAGCATGTTGTGCTAGGCTCACTATTACTGTCATATAATTGAGTATGTTCCCGGACATGAGCTTGAGAAGGGATACATGTAATTGCATTTTAAATTTATGAACTCACAGTCACTATTACAGAAAAAAGTAACCATGAAATGTGTTAAATAAGAACAAACGTTATAATTCCATATTGAATCAAAATAAATCTAAATCGATATTGGCAACAATTAAATAATTTTTGCAAGAACGCACAGCCACTTTTTGTTATTTCGCTTACGGCATACTGATTTACATTTAAAGCTACATGCTTCCAGATGAGTAAAACTCTAAAATTCTAACCTCGGACTTAATTTGTGTCTTTTATTAGATTCAATATCATCAACATACAATTTCGTATATTAAGATAGTAAAATCATTAGAAAATCGAACCACAAACGTTTTTTATTATGACCAAGAGCAATATTTAATGAGATAGAAATAAAGAATTTACGAACTCGCTCTATCGAACGTGTTTATACATGCGTCAAGCACCGGTTAAATTATTGCAAAAATAGATTGTTATCTTCGTATTAACAATATAGCTCACGTGACAAATTTGCACAAAGTATATGTTAAGGTAACCACGCACAATTTGTCATATTCAATCCAGTGGCTGAGGAAGTACAATCATGGCAAGTACCTGTTCATTACTTTGTAATAATTCGTATTCCTCAAAACTTCTTTTGCTTCATAAATTTTATTTCCTTGTATGCCGTAATCTCACAAAAACATTTTAACTCCTCAAAAAATTAAAATGTTTTTTTGAAATATTTCATTAAAAAAAAATTAACAATCGATTGTTTAAATATGTCAAACATTAACTAAAATAAAAGTGGATTTTCTGAATGATTATATAAAGAATCTTTTACTACGAACAATTTTACAATTTAGAAGCATCCCTTTGAGTTTTTTTGCGAAAAATGTCATTTATATTTTAAAAAAATTATAAGATAGAACACATTTTATTATAACAATTATAGTGAAAATAGTATGAATATTGTTAATATATTCTCTTCCTCCTATAACATTTCAATTTAATAAAAAGAAAACATCTTCTGTGTATAGGAAATGTCAGGAAAAAAAATTGGCAATGTAAAACGCTGGTGTATAGACAGAAACGGTTTATTTTGTCTTCTGTGAAATACATTTTATTTTTTATGTATCAGGAATGTTCATGCCTAACAATAATAGTTGGAATAGTGTTACTACATATTTCAAAAGCAGGTATGTAAAATTCTTATTGTAAATGATTAATTAGATATTTGATAAATTACATATCACACTTAATACGATTGTAAGCTTTAAAATCCGCCCGTATTGAGTATTTTTAACAACTTCCTGTATGGTATATCACATGTAAAGATAACAAAATTATTTTATACTGCAAAAGCATTTCCTATTTTTAGTTTAAAAAAAGAAATGAAGCAATAACAATTAAACCATGTCGTGCAGTAATGTATTTTTTTTTATAAAATACTGTACTTTTGTAGCGTCGATATTCATTGTAAAGTGATGATAATAGCATCTATAAATTTCGCAACAATTATGAGTTATTTTAATCGTTGTTTGATATAACAGAAAATAATGATTTAGTATTATATATCAGTTAGATAATCTTTTCACAGGCTTAGTGACCCTGTAAACGGGCTTACAACTATATAATGAAGATAAAAGCTAAATAAATAAAAGTTTACATAGTATCTGCATATTGAGACGAGTTTTTGAATTTGAGAATTACGTTTTACAATCTTGTGATTGAAAATAGATGTTTATCACACATATTCTTATTCTCTACTCTATACTGCCATAGAAAACAGCTGATAAATTTGTAGCTTGATTCTTTGTTTTATATGATACATATGAGCTACGTGTGACTTACATTTTAAGCTCTACCTACCGGATGTTCAGGTGGAACTCAGACTTGCCCCGCCAACTCTGCTTGTACTGCAGATGGGACAGATACTTGTGTTTGTAACGACGGTTTTAAGCTTAACTCCGCACAAGATGGATGTGAGGCAAAAGGTTTGTGTTCGTGCATTAATTAAGTTTATATGTCTATAAAATTGAATCTATCACGTTTTGAAAAGTAAACAAAGCTGTCCTACGCGGCTGCCCAACGGGGGATCATTATTTTTGAATGTTTCGAGAAGGAATATCTTATCCGAATGACTTTAAAAAAACTAGTTAAGAAATACAAGTCACTTACTTAATAGTATAAAAACATTCGAAGCAAATCCAACAATTTCTAAGATAAAATGCGTAACTAAATTCATAGTGACTTAATAAGGTACATAACCTACACGGAATATTGATATGAAATGCTATATGATATCAGATTGTACAATTCTTTATCTTTATTAATTAATCGTCACGTCAGTATTTGCTTTAGATTTATATTAGTTAACCACACTATTTATATACTCCAAAACAAACTTCATAGATTTAAGTACCGTAAGACACTACTTGGAATATGATTGTATCACAAAATATACTGCTACAAATTATTACATACCTTTTTTCAGTATTAGGTGATGTTTGTGATTCAACAAACGGCTGCACAGGTTTATCGAATATCGCTTGTACAAATAGCAAATGCGAATGTGCTGCCGGATATGCAAACAAGAATTCTGTTTGTACCAAAGGTAACATCAAATCAATAATAAAAAATCGACTTTAGGTGAATAGTTTTAATAGCGTTCATTGTTTCTTCGGCACGCGAACATACGAAGATATTCAAAAGTCATGGAAACTACTTTAGATAAGATAAGCTAATTTTAGCAAATCGTTCAAAGTACACTTTAAGTTGAAAGACATTTAAATTCAAAATTTCAATGGCATGCATAAATATTTTTAAGTGTTTAACGTCAAGATTTTAATCAAATGTTTTGAGAAAGTTATAGTCAGACTAACCATACTGATTTAAACCGAAATATTGCTAAATTTAACGTTAATTGTCCAAAGTATTTCAGCTATAGACTTGAAACGTCATAGGATGATAGATCTCACGAGCACCACACAAATATGGATATATATCTTAAACGATTTAAATCAAATGTATTTTTTAATTATATTAATAGTAAGAGTGTCCGAAGTTGTATGTAAAGCTGCAGGAACTGAATGTGATAGCATTGATCATGCTGGCTGCGAAATTCAGAAATGTAAATGCAACACTGGCTACATTGAAGACACGAAGGACGGAAGCACATGTGTAAAGAGTATGGTGAAATTAATACACAACTACAATTACATGTTCTAACATTGTTAATAAGTACATTTGTTTGTATTTTATTTACTGAATTCCATGAAGATTGTCAACAAGGCGTGCAATAATTAAAGTTGGTATTCGCTTAGTATTATTCCAAGATAAATATTTTTTGTAAGGAACTGACGTGTCATCGAAATATTGTTCATTTGAAAAAGAGGGGTATAAATGCTAAAGTATTTGGACATCAAGAAAGACAAATATATATTTTTATACACAAACTGTTTTGCTCCAAAATATTTGGGGAAAAATCAGGCGAGGACCTGAAAAGATGCGCATCTATATCTATTAGGTGAATAGTTTTATTAGCATGCAAGTTTTTCGGCACGCCAACGGACAAAAAGATTTGAAAATCATAGATAATTTCAGCAAATCATTCACAATTTAATTGCAATTTAATAAACACTTTAAGGCAATATTGCAATGACATGTAGCAATATTATAAGTGTATAAAGTCGAAATTATTAATCATATATTTTGTGAAGGAATAATTCAGACCTATCATACTGATTTAAACCTTTATCTGTATACGTTTTCTTTTAAAAATGTCAACCTTAACTTCTGCAATAAATTTTGTCTCGACTTTATTATCTTATACTTGCAGTTATTGGAGGATCATGTCAAGGAACTGCTGCATGTCCTGGTGACCAAAATACAATTTGCAAAAATTCATTATGTGTGTGTACCGATGATTATGTAGAAAAAGCCAACGTCTGCAAAAAACGTAATTATGTTTTATTTCATTGCATTGTCATGTATTTAGAACTTGTCTATTGACGCATTGTTTTCAAAGAATGTGCAGTGATTTGTCGAACTAAATTACATCAAAAAGACGGTTTTACGAATTTACGCATGTATTACTACAGTCAATGTTTACTTTATTTTGTACATGTGGTCATATTGTGAATAATTATCTTACATAAAAGAATTGCAGATGACATGCGTCAGAATGGACATGCATTACATGTGAAAATTAATTTCATGTTTCTGTATGAAGAAACTACGATCAAAACTACGGTCGGTGTTACTTTGTCGAATGTACTTATTCGGGATATTCTTTAGAATAATCTACGTACACATAAGGCAATGAAAGAAGAAAAGGGGGGTTTTATATATAAAATTTATAGGGTATATCTTCAGTGTCCTTCTTTTGTCCCGGCTATGACTCGAAATGTTTAAGAAAAATCAGCTTGAAAAATGTATGGGTGAATAACTTTCATACAAACTATTATTGATTTATTATTTCTATTTTGTGTGTATCTAAATGTCAGTGTTTGCAATTGGAATCGTTTTGTGATAACTGTTCTCTTGTTCGGGGGGATCACCTTTGGTACGATTTCAAGATATTAAAAAATCAAACAAGCAAGTCAAGTAATGTTGGATGCAAGGATTGAAATGTAGATGCATTGACTAAAGAATAAACATTATTGAATATAAATAAATATTATTAAATAGTCTGCCCTTTTTAGTCCCCTACTGGTTTAACCTAAGAGGAGTTTAGGTTTTCCCTCCTTCCAGCTTTCCGTCCTTCGGTCCGTCCACCAAACTGGATCCCGTGATAGGGCAAAGAGTACTGAAAATATGTTTTTTTGAAACTTCAGGGTCAATTTATTGAATTTTGTTGACTTTTACTCTGTTTAAAACTTTTTTTATTTATTAACAAAAATTGAAACATAAGCTATATATATTCATCCTGAGAAAATTGGATTATTTGATTATTTGTTGTACATGTATTTGATAATTTCGTTACTAGGCAGGGAAACTTAACACATAAACAAACTAAAATTAAAGTTCATTCATGTCTTCCACAATAGCATATTGGAAAGACGTCTGATTTGGTTGCAATACTAATAATATAATATTTGCTTATATAAAAACGTTTTGCTTTACATTTATTATTGGCATATGAAATGGTTTCACTTTTTTTTCTTAAATACCTTAAAATTCTCCTAAAATTTTGCAGAACGTTGAACTGACCTTGAGTTTTAAGACTCTTTATCTGCTATGATCAAGTTACGGAACTATACTGTCAAATATCTGTTATTATGATAAAAATTCATATATCTTTTATTACGATAAAAAAAACACATTAAAAACAATCAATGTGATAAATTCTTGGCGAAACAACTCTTTGACCCAACCGACATGTTGGATGATTTAAATGTGACCTTTAGCTTTAAGGTTAAATTATTAAATTTTGATTTTTAATCAAACAATTTTTATTTATTTATGGATTTTATCTATACTTAGACAGAAGCCAAACAGTTCCCCTGTCTTGCAATGGCTCTTGTAAGAAATTTAAATTTATTGGAATATTTTTGAAGCCAATAGAGATAATACCATGTCATGTATATTGACTGGAAAATTGACAGATAATCTTTGTTAATATAAATGGTATCTACTTTTTACTTGGGATAATTATTCTTTGTTACACTCACACCAGTGTTTATAAGTCTAACATCTTTCTTTCTAAGAGTCATCTACTCTTAAGTTTTAGTATTTGCTTTTAAAAATGTTATATTCTGGTAACAGCCAAGAATGTGTCATGTTTGTCTGTCAGTCCGTCTGTTCGTCCGTAAAAACATGTTTCCTGAGGTCACTTTTAAAAAGCTTGGAACTTTGGAAATTTATTTAAAATAGAGAAAAGTTAAAACAATAGTTATACATATTCAGCCTGAGAAAATTGGATCTTTTAATTATTTGTTGTATAAACATAATTTCGTTACTAGGCAGGGAATCTGGAAACTTAACAATTACTATGGTACAGACAAACTAAGATTTAAGTTCATTCATGTCTTCCACAATGATATAATTGAAATACTTCTGTTTTGCTTGCAATAATAATACTATAATATTTGCTTCATTTAAAACGTTTTGCTTTTTAAGGGGTAGATAGAACAATATGCTCTGTAAAAGGAACTGAATGCAGCTCTACAGATAATGCTGACTGCGACACCACAGCGCTTAAGTGTAAATGCAATGACGGATTCAAAATGAATGCTGACACGTGCATAGCCGCAGAAAAAAACGCAGGTATGAAAAGTTATATGCACTTTTCAATTGTAAATAAACGTGTAATGGCCATCTGTGTCTCATCACTATATATACAAATGCATCTTGTTGATTATGTAAGTGATCATTTGTAAACAAAAAAACGCATGTTTGTTATTTTCAATTGACATCATGGAAGTAGTATTATAAACAAATTTGTGTATGCAAAGAGTGACAAAGCATGATAGCACATTTTGTGTTCATTCGTTAACTTATAATGGCGATATGTTCAATAAATATATTCACAAACTCCTTAGTAAATACAATCAACATTATGTATTTTAATTTATTATAATTGACAGAGAATCACTGGCATGTTTTAATTGTCAAATTTGTTAAAACAGGAATGAAAATGATTCAAAAGCAATATTATAATATAATCATTTGAATTTTATTGAGAATGAGGGTTTGTTTCTTTTTGAAATTCACAAATTGTTTAATTGAGACTTTTGCTCTTGTCATTATGATTTTTAAATATGGAAAAATGATAGTCTGGAAAATGTTTTCATTGCTTTGCGAAAACGTTACTAAACGCCGCGAAGATTTTTTATTGTGCGTACAGACTAAAGTTATCATCTACAGTACCAATCAGGATGATTTTTTTTTGGATAAAACGTAGGATATGCATTGGATAATGAGAAAGGGAAAACAACTTAAGTGGGGCGATTTTGTTTTCATTATTGTTTTTGGTGATGTTTATTTGTTTCAAACACTTTTTAAAGGTGTGTCAGCAACTTTGGCATTTATCGTGCTTGCACTACTTCCGGTTATCCTGTCAATAAAGGAGGCGATTATGTAAACTTGCCAATCAAAAGTTTGCAGGTAAATATGCAGTAATAATGAATAATTAAAGGTGCTAAAAGAGCATTGCCTTCATTGAATTATTGACATTTTCCTATTTTTTTCAATACCATGCATAACAAACTTAAAATAATAACATGATTAAGCTTCCTATCCTATTGCATGACTTGCAGTGCAGTTTTGTTGTTATTGTTAGCGGTTAAACCATTCATTTCTTGTTCGTTTCAGGTATATGAACGGTTTGAATATTGGTGTGACTGCTTGTTCGCTACAGGTATATGAACGGTTTGATCATTGGTGTGACTGTTTGAATTGTTATATATTGTCTGCAAACTTCATTCATATTTTGTTTTCCTTTTCAAAAGACTGTTTAAGACGAGTGTGTATTTTGGAGGAATATTAATATTTTATTTAAATTTGAACTTTAAGCAAAAAGGTAGTGAAATAATTTTTCACTTGATACTTAATTATTATGTCAATGATGTTTTAATGTTAAATAAAATCTAATACGTGTATCATTTGCTTGTCTAAATCTAAGATTTCCTGTGATGGATGAAGTTTATAAAACATACTTGACTTATGAAAATACAGGAGATATGATGAGATTTGGCAAGAGATAAAATTACTCCTTCTAATTACACATTAGGTGTTTGTAGAATAGAAATAAATTTCATATAAAAATAAAAAATTGTATTGGTTATATGTCAAATTATTATTTCCAAAGTGTTTATATTTACAATGGGCACGTGAGTTTTTCAAACAATGATAATAAACAATAAATGAAAAAGAAATGCAACACATTAGTTGCATTCTGTTTGTTGGCCTATTATGTTCCTTTCAACAGAGACTTTTACTTTGTTTTCAAACGTGTATCATATCACGTGATTGTAATGGAGTAACACGGGGACTTATGACACAAATCATTTATTAAATACTTTAGTTTAAAACTCAATGAAAAGAAAGAAAAGTTTGTCATGTTGTTCTTTTATCGTTTTATTTATAGACCTTATCATCTTAGATAAACACTCTAAATAACATCTTAAAGTATTATTGGATATAAAAACGTGGTTGATTGAGATGTTAAGTGACACTTTGTAAATAAACTGTACGCCGTTTACCTATAAATCAGACAATCATTGTTCTGCAGACTTAATGAGATTTTAATAGGCTCATGTACAAAGCAATCAAAGCAGCCTTACAAGTGTATACTCTTATACTGTATATGTTAAACAGGCTTCAGTAAATATTCTGAAGTGTTATTGTCCCATATTTAACTTCCTTACGTTTTCAAAGACGTTCATGTTTATAAAATGTCAATTAATTGTTAGACTTAAAAGGTATCTCAAGATTATAAATTACTGACAGCTATCAATATATCAGTCTATATGTTTTTGTTCAGACTTAAACGTATTTTGTACAGCCAAAATCATTATATTTAGGATGACATAAAAAAAATTCAATTACCTTATGTAATAATAAATTCGGTAAAATTGAAAATGTAACTGGTTTGATTTGATTGTGCTTGCTTTTAAGTTAAACCATTTAACATACAAATTAACTCAAAAGAAAGACAAATTTATGATGGTAACCAACGATAGTTCATTCTTAAAACTGGATGCTAAGGTTTCTGTACAGCTTTGTGTTTATGAAGAGATCAGTTGATGGTTCTAGCTCTAAAGACAAAATTGACATTGGAAGTGAAACAGGATTGATTGTATACAATAAATCTGTTGAGTCCGTTCAACTAACTAATGCAACATGTACATGTACTTACAAGTCTAATTGGTTTAAACAAATCATCAGTCATCGACATATATACATATTTAAGTGAGTATGATAAAGATTAAGGGCAGTTTTATAAGTGTAACGTACTAAGTTCACGGGTAAATATACATTTGCAGAATTACCACTATCATTCGTATATATATTTTGCCATTCCTCAAGTTTATAAGTTTCGTATTTGCATTTTAATTGAAAAAACTTCTCGGGAATCACAATATTTGTTTAGCTCACGAATAAATGTGTCGAGAAGTGCATACTTGTTTTTAGAGTCCATTACCACAGGTCCAAAAGTCTTTTAAAGTTTACTTTAACTGCAACAATTGGTGGCCAATTGGTACCGAATCGATGTAGTGCTAGTGAAAAATTTTCAGTATTACGTCACTGGTGTTACATGTAGATTGCCCCAAGGAATGTTAGTATACATGTATAGAGCGGAATATTAATACTTAGTAGGCCTATACGTGTTCATTTTGTACTTGGTATGATCTAAATTAACGTTTGCTAACGTTACGAGATGTATGCCGAAAATCATTAAATAAACGGGAATGTATTAGTTTCGTTTTCACGAAAATGCAAATTGAAAAATCAGTTGAACTTTTACTTGTGTTTCTCATTGATATGTGACAGATCCTATTTAATATTTAAAAGATAGGTTTTAGATTACATTAACTAAAAGGTTATTTAAAGAGATATTGATAGTCAAAATAAAACCATTCAATACTTTAAGAATTTGACCTTGTTTACTTTATAACTTGCTTTTGTAATTTGTAGTTATAATTCAAACAAATTTTACTACCTATTATTGTCGATTTTCAAGATTGCTCACTGATGCACACGGTACGTTTACAAATGATTTTTTTTGTCGATAGTTGTAATTCAAATTATTATTATTACTGATAATTGTCGACTTTAAGGGTTGAACGCTGATGCACAAGGTACATTAACAGGTGATATTCTGTTTAAACGTTGTGTCGGTAGAGGTTGTGACTATTTACTAAACACAAGTCGATTCTAGTTACCTTTATTTATTTAACATATCCAAATTCTATACAGTCATTAGTCCCAAACCATTGTGATCAAGGGGTTGAGATTAATGAATACAAATGTGTCGTCATATGGACATGGATATTACAAAAGTTATACTAATTTGTTTCGAGTCGATTTGTTAATCAGAAGTTTCTATATATATTACCCAATAGTTTGAGTTTGAATATAATTGAATTTATAATCGTATATGCATATATACCCGTAACAGAAGGGTTGTATTATGTTGGTGTTAGCTATTCTGAAATATTTTCATTATATATTCAAAAGTATCAATGATTATATAGGCCTGATTCTCGTGTATGTTTCTCGCTTTTATATAAAGCGATTATTTCAAACAGTTGTTAGTTATGTTAGCAACAGTAAAGATTATGCAGACTGTTTAAAATGTACAAAAGTATATTTGTATAGAGAATAACAGTGTTGTTAAGCACACGTGTTCCCGTCTTTTTACCCGAACCCGTTTTATTTCGTATGAGCTGCAAAACACGTTTGCTTTTATTACAGAAACTGCATCCTATTTATGTAAAAACGCAAATTTAGTCAGTACAATGCACATTTATTTTTACTATAATGAAGCATTTAATGTATTTAGATAACTTAAGACATATATTTGATACCTATTGCTTTAATCGATATTGATAAAAACAAAAAAGTTTTGTCCTTTTATTTTGTCTTTTTCTTCGTAGCACGTGTTTACTTTTATCTTTATTCTTCAATCATATTTGGCGCGCTGTGTGTATGTATGTTGAAGATACCACCTAAAGAATTCAGAAGGATCACTTATTTTTTCACTGGAGGATTTTTCTTTTGAAATGAATAAAATATTCTTTGATCATGTCATGTAAATAAATATATTATCCCTCAATATTTTGTTTTTGTTACCTCCTTCTTTTTGATACTCAATTTAAATTGGCATTCCAAAAGAACTGTTGGATTAATAAATTACTAATTAAAATGTTAAGTGACATTTCTTTGCTTATGCAGTATGTCGTTTGCTTTCATTGTTCAAATACGATATTTCTTTCATACACACATTTGCAAATGCAACTAAACAATCTTATAATTGAACAATCTAATGTTTTATTGCATAACGGCTTCAGTAACCATTTATAAGCATAATTGTCTAATAAGTTATCAGTTGGCTTCATCTAATAAGTTTATGTTTATCAGAGAAGATGCCATTTTTAAAAAAATTAAATGGTATTAAAAAATTAAAAATGCTTTAATGCAAAAATGTATACATTAATACAATTGATTGATTCGGACTTTTTACTTTGAACAATTTGATTCTGGTTGACTGGTTGCTATAGTTTTTTTATTGAGCATTTTATGTAAAATCTGCAATAAACTCAAAATGTCATGAACTGAAGCTGTTGATGTTGAGCCATTGAAACGTATAAATTAAGTCGTGATGAACATCAATTGATGAACTTGACAACAGGTATCTACAAGAACAACATTAAAACGTATTATCATTCTGTCACTAAAAAGCAATGAAAAAATAAATAAAGAAAACAATAATAAAAATTCACGCGATAATAGGCACTATTAAAATGTATTCAATATTTTTTTTTTTAAACTCGATCTTACAGACTCCACTATATTTTCACATTATAATGTGTCAGTCGACAAGTAACTGGCACTTTCAAGTACCGTTCATAAATAGGGTCAATCGAACCACGCCTGCAACTTATTCAATTTTGCCGTGTTGGGCTTTCTTTAGGAATTCTGTTTTCTCTATATTTTAAAGTAATATAAACCATGACTTGTGTACTTTGTTAAAATTTATGAATTAGAATGAATGATCATTAATCATACTAGCACTGTTCCTAAATAACATCATTTGAAATGATGTAAAGATAGCAGTTAAAATAATTAATATGGGACCTAAAACTCTTCTTAACAAAACCAAATTATAAATATTAAAGATTCTGTTAAAGCAAGAGAAGTGAAATCCTCCTATCACCAGCCTGGTCACAATTGAACAGCAAAGTGTGGAATAGTGTACATTTAAAACATACGAATTTATAAATATCGACAGAATGTAGTCATACGACGTTGAGCTTCTATTTGAGCTATTTTACCCGTAAAGGAAAAGCCCCAAACGAGAAAATAAAAAAAATAATATGTTTAATATTATCATCACCAAATAAAAAACAATAAAGTAAGATTTATATAATTTACTGCTACCACATGAAATTATTATATACAACATTATGCAGCTTAAATAATATAGAGGAACTCGTCAACATCACTTTTCGTGTAAATTCCATATTTCTATTGTTTACGTCAATGACATCATTTCTTATAATGTATATTAATTTTCATTGACCAAGTGTTAAGAAATAAAAAGGTTTAATATATGATTTCATTTATTAATGTAAGATGTTTGTATGAAAATAAAAACGTATTTGATTTACCTTTTCACCATAAGTTATACGAAATAGTATATTGAAACATGTTCGAATATGTACATATAGAATCTTAAATGTCAAAGCATATCATTAATATTTGATCTTTAACTTTGGAAGAATTTCCATCAAATTGATTCAACCAAACACATGATGTTCGAGAAATGAAATAAGGAATGCTTTCGTGTATATCATAATATTTTCTAAAATTATTTCCCTGATACGAATTTAATTTTTTTCCATTTTATTATTTATGATAATAAAATCTCTGCT